AACAATAAAGTGGACGAGATGTTGCTGCTGGATCTGGTGTCTTGAGCTTCGGGATCTCAGACCCACTGGGAGTCAAAACTACCCATGACTTCAGAGATGTGGGGATGCATCCCCCCCCCTTGGTAGCTGGTGTTTGTGTGTGTGTGTTTACACACAAGCACACAATTTGCATCATGCTGTGGCACATGAAAAGGAGTGGGCTATCCCTTCCCCAGCACATCGCCAAACTGTCAGCCAAAGTTTGGAAACATACAGGCAGAATAATGTCAACTCCATGAGATGGGTGACATGGGTCACAGATGCAGCATGGGGAGAAAGGATCAACCTTCCATTCCATCGTGCCACATCCCCAAATTGGAAGGAAGGCTAAAGAATTTGAAAGATGGGGAGCTGCCCTACACCAAATCAGTGCACAGGTCCAAAGTGCTAAGCATTATCCATACTGGTTAGCATCAGCTGTCCAGAGTTTCAGATACGAGACTTTCTGAACCCTACCTGGAAATGCTGGAGATTGAACTTGTGACCTTATGTATATAAAGTATGTCCTCTACTACTGCAGCCCTTCCACCAGTGGGAAGGTGTATTTCTACCACCACCACCACCTGGACCAGTGTTTTATCACAGGGGTGTTCTGCAACACATTCTTGACATAATAATAGTGCACCAGTGGTGTATTGCATAGAACCATAGAATTGTAGAGTTGGAAGGGATCCTAAGGATCATCTAATCCAAACCCCTACAATGCAGAAATCTCAGCTACAGCATCCATGACAGATGGCTCTACTTAAAAGCCTCCAAGGATGGCCATTCCACTGTCAAACAGCTCTTTCCATCAGAAAGTTATTCCTGATTTTTAGTCAGAACCTCCTTTCTTGAATACATTGATTTGAGTCCTACACTCCAGAGCAGGAGAAAACAAGCCTGCTCCATTTCCCATGTGACAGCCTTTAGATATTTGAAGATGTCTATCAGATCTCCTCGCACTCTCCCCTCATCCAGGCTAAACATGCCCACCTCCCTCAACTGTTCCTCATAAGGCTTGGTTTCCAGACCTTTGGTCACCCTCCTCAACACACCTTTGAGCTTGTCAATATCCTTCTTAAATTGTGGTGCCCAGAACTGTTGACTCCTGTTAAGCTTGTGACCTACTAAGACTCCTAGATCCTTTTCACATGTACTACTGGCAAGCCATCTTATATTTAAAGTCCATGGCATCTTCAACAAACCCTGGGAACTGTAGTTTGTTAAGGACACTGGTAATTGTAAACTGTGATTCCCAGGATTCTGCGGGGGGAGGGCAGCAGTCGTTTTTGCTGCCCATACATTTTCTCAGGAAGCGCAGACTTGGAAGGTATGGACTCTGGAGGTTCCTATTCAGGGTTCTCTGTATCCAGGTCTCCCCTCTCCAAACTGCTGATCAGCTTCAGATCTGGATCTCATGGTGATGAGTCCTGAGTCAAAGCCCAGACTGCTGCTCAGGTTGGGGGACCCAACAGACACAGGCAATTCCATATCTACAGATCTTTGGTTATGTGGCCAGCCAACCCCCAAAATTGGTTTGGCACCAAATACAACTCCACCCTCTTTACTACTCAGTGAGCACTCAGGATAAGTCAAAATGCTTTGATGTAAAGAACAGCACAAGCCCTTCATGGCGGCAATGCAGAAAGCCAATTACATGAATCAAACCCACATTTCTCAATATTCTTTCTGGTAAATGCCCCGTGGGCAGAAATACTTGAGTTGCAAAGGCGTTTTTATTTTGTTGCATGGAAGCACCGCAATTACTTTTTGATTTGCACAGCACTTTAAATGTATTTAAAAGAGATAGTAATTAGGGATCTGTCTGTGCCAACAACATACTGGCATTCTGCAGAATCTTGGCTAAAGACAGAACCAACTTTAAGGTGACATCTCCCAAACTGCATGTGACCCTTTCACTGCAGTGGCACTTTTGGACTACAGGAAGGCAGCACCTGCTGTGTCATATGATTGGCGATAAATAATATGAACTAGGTGACCCTAAGGAAATATTCAGGGTATCTTCTGTAACAGGGAGCGCTTTCTGATAATTGTATTTGCACAGTAACATTATGGCAACCATTCAAAACAGAGGGAAAAATAATAACCCCATGCGGCAAAGTACAAAGCAAATGGCAGGGGAAACTCTGGCTTCCAGAAACCTAACTCAGCAGAGCCTCAGGCCTACAAATCTAGACATATGATGTTCTTCCCTAGATATGAAGTACCTGACCTTAAAACCAGAATAAAGGTGGTAGTTAAGAGAGTGAGGTCTGAGCCAAGATATTCCCTGGTTCAATTGAGTTGAACCAATGGGTGGAGTTAAATAAACCACAGTATTTCCACCTTACCCTGTTCCTTGCAGTGGCACCACAAGGGCCAGTTTGTGAGACCTTGGTCTGGGGCCCTGCAGTCCAGAGGACCCCAAACTACAGGACCCCAAGGGCAGCAGTCGCCACAACATCTTTCCTTTATTTTCTTTGTTTTGCTTTTTACAGAGCAAGCGCCTTGCTCCAGGGGTCTATACAGTTGTGGCTGCCATCATTTTCCCAGAGGCACAGACGCTATTGGGCCAGCTCATCCACTTCTGTAAAACGTAGAAGAAAGAGAAGAAGATGTTCCGCAGATTTCTGCCACTGCCCTGGGGGGTGAGAAGGGATGGGCCAAGGGGCAGGAAGGTAGCCAGAGGGTCTCTTTCTCTTTCTTCAAAACTTTCTACAGAGGATGTCAAGCAGACTAGAGTCAGCGCATTCACTGGACATCCTCTGTAAAAAGATTTGGAAAAGGGGACCAGATCCTTCCCTTCCTGCCTGGTATGCAAGAGACGGGAGAGGAAAGGAGCCCCTTTTCTATCTTTTTGAAAAAGGGAACCCTTTGTGTCCATCCCCCTTATCAGGCAGTGGGGTGAAACAAATGGGTACTTGTTCCCTGTTGCCTGATAAGTGGGTTGTCACATAAGTGGTGCCCTCCATGCATGCCAGATTCCAGGGTGTGATCTCAAGGCTCATGAGGCCACCACTTTGTGGATGCTAAGCAGTTCTGGGTCTGGTCAGTTCCTCGGATGAGTGAGTGTGCCTAGAAACCACATTCATGCTAATTTGGGCGTGAAATGAATGTCAGAAAGATAAAATAAATGGCATCCAACGTGTGGAGAGGTGAGTGAGTTTCGTGGCGAGTCCCACTTCAAAATGTTTGAAAAACACAGGTCTAGGGCCTTCCTTCCTCCAACACCAATGTAAGCCTGAAGCCTTGCATGCCAGCATTCAGGAGCCTTCTTCATGTAATCCTTATGGCATGCAAGATCAACAAACTGTCCCAGCATCGAAATAGAACAAGGAGCAAAAGGCAGCTACCGTGAGCATGAGCCATCAAGTTGTTGTCCCATTCATGCAAAGACTTGTGCTTGCACAATCAAATTTCTCCTCCTTCTCCTCCCCCACAATAGATTGGGGGAGTGCATGGGGAGAGGAAAAGAGAGGAAGTTCAACTGAACAAGCAGAAGTCCCTGCTCAAACAGGATGACTCTGCAGGATATAAGCATAAAGATTTATTTTTGTGCCGAGAGTTTCAGCAGATTAAAAGCCTCGGCAGATTTATTGTCACATAAGCTTACATGGACTGAACTTCACTTCATCAGATGCAGGAAGTATTATCTTTGCTTGGCTATATATACACATCAGGGATACAGCAGTGTGTGAGAGAGAGAGGCTGCAGGGGGGTACTAAATGACAATGAAATGGGGGGGGAATAAGTATGTGAATATATCTATCTGCCAACCGACATAACACTTTATGCATTTAACAAAATGGACTCAAATCTGCTGCAATAAATTTGTTTGCCACAATATGTTTTGTTGTTTTTGCTTTAGCAGACTTGCACAACAGTGTGCAAGTACCAGAAGGGTGGAATTGACATTTTATATAAAATAAAGAAATCTGCTGGTCTGCAAAGGAAGGCAGTTTATCTGTGTCTTCAGGAGACTGGAGAATAGTTAGAAAAGATGGGTGCACAGCTTTTGAGATTTCAGAAAGCATCAGCCATACCTTTAAACATGCCTTTAAAAGATAGGTACCTGCTTCTTATTTAAAATGAAAACTTTGACTCTCAGGAAGCTGAATTCTTTACCCATTACCACATTCTGAGTTACCGTATTTCTATACTTCCCCTGCATTGCAGCATATGTATATGGCCTATAGAGGCACTTCCTTCTTGGTGGGACCTATGCTGGGTTAGGGAATAAATGAATAAGTCTCTTTCCAGTTCGTGTTAGCTTTGGATGTGTCCAGTCATTATCGATTCCATCCCTTTAAAGAAAATTGCAGAAAATTTGCATTTTTATTGTACTCACTTCCCCTAAACTTGACCATTCTTGTATAATTTCCTCCTAAGCCATGCATTTCCCTATACATTTCTTTGAGCTGAGAAGTACATGACACAATCTGAAGAATAACTGTATTCCAGTCCGCATAATAGATCAGGATGTTTGAATTAGTTGGTTTGCTCTGAATGGGGGATTCCACTTTCCATATTTAGCAATGAGGTAGGAATTGTATCCAATAACTATTGATAAAGAAATGAGTCTGATAAAATATTCAGGCTTTCTCCAGCCAAGCTAAGAACATTTGCCTGGTATCGAATCACCCAAACCTCAGTAGCTGTAGTCGAGAAGTTCTCATAGATAAAGCTGTGCCCTACAGAGCAGCTATCATGCTTGAAAAACACTGAATAGGGACAGTGACAATTGCATAAATGACAGACCAACAGAAGCATTTATGGAAGCAAAAAGGATTTCCACCAGCAGTCTTTGTATTAGAGATGAGCCTATCAATGAAGTAATAATAATGTGGGGATGGGCCACTGTGTGTGCATTTTAAAATATCTGTTCTGTTTTCTTGCAGGCAGTCCTCAACTATCATTTTGCTGACCCGGGTCAAATGCATGACAGGATCTAAACTAATAAGGGTTGTATTCGATTGTCAGCTGTGATAGCTCAGTCGATAGAGCATGAGACTCTTAATCACAATGTCATGGATTCGACCCCCCCCCCATCTATTTCCCCCCATGTGAGCAAGTTTATGGCCATACAAAAAAAAGCCATTATCAATATTTATGGTTTTGTGCTATTCAACTCTGCTGCAACTGACACAGCTGGAAGGATGAACGTCCTTCACAACATAGTTACAGAATCCAAAACCTGCCTAATATGAACTGGGTTAACAGCACACTTGGGCAACAGGTGTTGTTGCTGCCCCCGCAAGCTGGGGTTGTGGATTAGCCAACCCCCATCAGGCCAGGAGGGTCTGCAGCCCAAAATCTAAAGCAAACAAAGCAGGTGCTCTCCTTGTCGATGCAGCCAGCGGCCCGATTGAATTACGTTTCGAAAGAATGGCTTTGCATCTTTCATGAAATTCAATTACGAAAAGAGAGAGGTGGCACCTTCTGTGATGTGATGGAGTCGAAAGGACAATCTGCTCTTCTTGTGGCCTCCTTCTGTTGGCTACTTTGATCTGAGTTTTATTGTCTGGGTTTAACACCTTCACCTTTAATTCCAAACAGAGAAGGTCTTTAGAGCCGTTTTTCTATAGCAAGGATTGTTCAGGCCTTTTTAATAGGAACCCTCAATTATCCAGGAAGCCAGAAACTAAATACACATAGGTTTGGTGAAATATAAGATTATTCTCACCAGTATTAAAACAGGTAGGAGAGGCCACATTAAAGACTCGGGTTTTACTTTCTAAGACCATTGCTTAATAAAAAGCGCACTGGCAACAGCTCAGCAGCACATTAGGGCTGGAACCGGTTCAACCCAAAATGCAGAAAGGAGATGTAACTGAGTAAAATAATACAGGTTAGACAGGCTCTCCTGCTCACCTCAATGAGATCTTTATTGTAAAGAGCTACCACCATATTGACATGACCCAAGGCCGTGGCAGTTCAACACTATAGTGTTACAGATTTGCATCACAAATCTCCGTGGAACAAAACCACACTCCTCTGCTGGATAGAAATGCAACCCAAGCTGCCAGGACCCAATCCTGCACTACAGTTCTCACGTACATTTCAGGACCAGAAAGAGAACGGCCATCTAGCCAAGCTTCCACGCTAACAAAGGAAAAAAGAGGGGGCGATTCCATTTGTTTATTCTTTCACTAGACAAAATATGTCTCTTTTAAGAAGTCAACTTGTCTGTCTTCTAGACTGTAACAATTTAACATATTTCCTTTCTTTCTTATTCCAACTGTCAGCTGACACTAGCCTCTTAAGGTTTCATGAATAAGATTGTTGTGTGTCCCCCCCCCCATATGTTTTCTAGACGTTTCTGTTTTAGCTGTAAGCCGCCATGAGTCCATGTCAGGGGAAAAGGCAGGATATAAATAAATAAATATTTAAATAAATAAATAACATTCCTAGGTTCCTTTCTTTGGCCATACCTGATTGCTGGTTCACTAGTTTCCCATTTTCTAGTAGTTGGGAGTCCAAGATGATGAAAGAGAAAATGGAAATTGTGATTAACAGGTCTACTTTTGCAGAATTATAGATACCGGTATCTGTCTTGCAGTCAATTTCAGATGTGGAGTCATCTTGGGAAATGCATGGATGCCTGCATGACTGCTATGAATTGGGACCTTTGGTATAATAAGAAAAACAGAAAATGCAGAAACACTACACACCACTGGTATGTCAGCCTGACATACACACGGGTTGGAGATGTCATATTTTGCACTAGATTCTATCCCCGTGGTTGAACTTGTTCTGTTCTACCAGATGACAGTGGGGTAGACAGTGAAAAGAGCAATGTTGGTACAAGATTATATCTATGCACATTTACTTTGGAGTCAGCATAACTGAGCTTAATTACCCTTGTTTCTGAGTAGATGAGGAATCAAATCAAATCAAATCTTTATTACAGTCATAGACCAGCATAAGTAGATGGGGAGATTATGATAAAAAGTGATAATGATTTTCAAGCTTTTTCTACAGGGCATGAGGATGGATCTGTTGGAGGTTCCATTCCACCTTTTGTTGCAGATATGTGGGATTGTTACATGTCACATGTCTGTTTACATTCTAGCACAGACTGCTGGGTCCCGTGAGCGGAACTTCCGCTGTGTATTGCTTTTGTTTTTAGTCTCTCTCCGAGAAGACAAGGAGAGACGACATGTTTCTTTGTTTTGATTTATGTAAAATAAATCCTTAGTTTTAGTATGTATCTACAGCCTCAAGCCTCATCTGTTGTGCAGTTTACTGTGCTAAGTAAAGTGTGCTCAAGTGAGCAAGCTTGAGTCGCTGATTTACGTCGGAGCCAGAGGTCGATGAATCTCTGCAGTGCGAAGGCTGAGAGGGAGACGATCTAACTGGAGCCAGTCAGATGCCCCCAGATGCCAACAGGATCATGTTGAATAAACAAGATGAGAAGTGTCTATGCTGGAGGGGCTCACAACATTAACACCCCAGAAGGCCTTGTTTCTCCCATAGCCACAGCCTTGGATTCAAACAGAAATCAAACATATCTCTCTCTCTCTCTCTCTCTCTCTCTCTCTCTCTCTCTCCGGCTTGCTGCTTTTCTTCATTTGTTTCAATGGGTCTACTTTTTGACTACAACTTATAACACCTGCATGCAGATTGCATACAAAACTATAAAACCATCTTGTTTCCTTAGGCAGCAATATTGTACCCATTACAACGGAGACATAATTTCAAGTATACATGGCTGACAAAGGCAGGGGGTTCTCTTTGAATACATTTTGTTTTGTTATCTGCAAATCTAACATTAACATGAATCTTTTCAAGGCCTTGAACTGTCATTTCTTGTACAGTTCATCAGTTCCCTCCCGGTAAAAGTAACAACACTCATCCGCGTCGGACTCTGTTGTGTTGAGTAGTTTTCTGTGCATTAGATATACAGTGGTACCTCGGGTTAAGAACTTAATTCGTCTGGAGGTTCGTTCTTAACCTGAGGTACCACTTTACCTAATGGGGCCTCCCTCCGCCACTGTGCAATTTCTGTTCTCATCCTGAAGCAAAGTTCTTAACCCGAGGTACTATTTCTGGGTTAGCGGATGTAACCTGAAGCATCTGTTACCCAAAGTACCACTGCACAGTAAATAACTGCACTGGTCTGACATTATCAAAGTCATTCCCCAATGAGAGCCCATGCGATATAGACTAGGACACAGGAAGCTGCCTTATACCAAATCAGCATATTGGTCCATCTAGCTCAGTACTGTCTGTACTCACTGGCTATGGCTTTCCAGGGTTTCAGGTAGCACACATTTTCAACTCTGACTAGAGGCATTGAACCTTGAACCTTTCAGATGTGGTGTAGTGGTTAAGAGCGATAGTCTTGTAATCTGGGGAACCGGGTTCGCGTCTCCGCTCCTCCACATGCAGCTGCTGGGTGACCTTGGGCCAGTCACACTTCTTTGAAGTCTCTCAGCCCCACTCACCTCACAGAGTGTTTGTTGTGGGGGAGGAAGGGAAAGGAGAATGTTAGCCGCTTTGAGACTCCTGAAGGGGAGTGAAAGGCGGGATATCAAATCCAAATCCAAAACGCAGGAGCTCAGCCAGTGAGCTATGCCCTTCACCACACTGGGAAAGCCTTGCTTCCATTCCCTGATCAGCAATAAAACTCACTGAATGATCTCTCTCAGCCTAACTTACCTCAAAGGATGTTTTAAGGATATAGTTGATTTGGCAAGCAGGGGAAGAGATGGTACCCTGATTTCCATGGAGGAAACACAGGATAAAAAATGAATGAGCAAATATTACTGTGTTGCTTGCTTGTGTAATCCGACTCATAAGGCAGGAATTTAAGCAAAAATGTGGCAACACCAGTTGAGCTAAACAATGCACGAATAAGAGGTTGACAGTAACCCACCTCAGATAAAACTGCCCCCAAAAATCTAGATGTTCAAAATGTTCAGAAAACCAGAGGACAGCTTAATATTTCAGACAGCCCAATTTCAAACAAGCAGTCACACACACAAAATAAATGGGAGGATTCCAGTTGTTTCAAAAATATTTTACTATATTAACAAGTAATTACATTCAAATTCTTGTGCTCTCAGTAATGGAATTGCATTGATAGACTTAATTTTTAGTGCATTTTTAAAAATCACAAAATACACAATCCTAGTGGTTTTTCTATAAAAGATCCCAGAGCATGAATAAAAGGTATGTTGCATTGATATATTGGGCACATTGTACTGGTCAAATGGCACTATTTTATTTTATTGAAAGTTGCATAAGAGGAACTTTTTGGGAGCCCCAACTGGTGTTAAGAGTATAGAAAAATGCCCATTTTACTTGTAATTTGAAAAGGTGAAAAATTACAGAGACATACTGTTCACAACTAAAGGTGAAACTAAGTTAAGACATGCCCTAGCCATTATTAGATGGAGAAACATCAAAAAAAAGTCCCAAAGTTCCCATGAGTTTATTATAAATGAAGAACCAGGTAAATTAATCTGGCATGTCACAGAGACAGCTATGGCATGTTCGTTATTCCCAGTGTGCTAGCCTTGTACACACAGGCGTATTTTTATTTTATTTTTGTATGAGGGGAACATTCAGAACTGCAATCCTTTATGTGCAGTCTGAAGTGGTGCAGTGCCGGATGTACGTATAAGCTAAGCAAGCTATAGCTTAGGGGCCCACTCTCTTGGAGGCCCCCCAAAAATGTAAAGGGAAAATAAACTGGATGTACTGGATCAAAGACTTTGATAAAATATATTTGTTATGTGCAAATGACTTTAGATACCTATTAGGTCCATAAATTACCATATAGCATATATTCAAAACAAAAAACAGTGGAAATTTGTTGTTGACAAAGGACAGCTGGACATATAATGGGCCCCCATTACCTTCAGTAGCTTAGGGCCTCATCAAACCTAAATCCAACCCTGGCTGGAAGTATTCTACCATATGACTGTACTGAACATGTATGTTGCCCTGAAAGAGTTCTACTGATGCTAAGACAGGAATAATCCCAGGGCTGGTATAATGGCGCATACATATGAAATTGCTACAAAGGGATCACTACTCATTGCTTCTTTTTTACAATTCCATTTGCTTGTCAACTGCAAAGATTGGAACTGTTTTCCTGAGGAATGAACGTGGTGTGCCAGTTTCCCTAATTTATGCGGCAGGTTACTCAACACATTCTGATGTCCCTGTTCAATTTTCTGTACACTTCCCCCCGCCCTCCAGGTTGTGGTTTGGGGACAGGTGGCACCTCTCAGGGGTCTGGCACTGGACCTCCAAGTTACTAAACCCTCAAAGCTATGCACAGCATGTCTAAAGAGGAAAAAGGATCCCAGCAGACAGTTTAAAGAAATTAAAAATTCAGGATTGCAATGGCCAAGAGGTTATTGGTTTAGAACTGCTTATGAATCTAGAATCTACTTGCTAGATGAAGTTCACAAGGAGAATGGGGAAAAGGGGGCAGAGCGTGCCTTATGATGAAAATAACAGAAAGGGGCTATTTAATAGCTCTTGCTGACTAAATGAATCACAGGAATGGATATCAGAAGCAATGTGTCATAACACAGAACTCCTTAACCAGCAGGGATAGTCTCCATAACATCTGCTGTCTGTATCATGGTGTAATGAACTACTTTTACTTCTAAAACTGTATTTTTAGGACTCTATCAAGGACTCGCATCCCAAGTTATTGCACACATGCTGTGATGGAACCACAGCTCATTCCTGCACAAAAGAATTTTGTCTAAATGCCCAAGAAAAATATTTAGACTACTACTACAATTAAAAGCACTGAGATTTTCCTACTGTAATTCTCATTTTTTAAAATTTGATGGCACAACAGCCTCAAATTCTCATTTTACTAATATAAAATGGATGTTGGTTTCACCTTTGTCTAATGGGATTCAACAGCAACGCAATAGTCCAAATACCAAAGGCTATCGAGAAGTTTTATTTCACACTGCCAATAACTTCAGAGTCTACACTTGAAACATGGCTTTAAGCACCAGTCTTCGTAAGCATGGCAATGTATGGAAGTTATAGCTCCATGCAACCTCAAGATCCCATATGTAACGTTCTAGCAAAAAACCAAACCCCTGAGAAACAAAAGGATGCTAATGGGAATAGCCAGAACTATGGCAGGGTAGTACAATTAGGAATGAAACATGCACTCGGCAGTCTAACAATTTTATGAATGTGTAGAAGCAAAACCCCTAAGAGCAAAGGGGTGCTCCCTCTCATCTTCTACTTGCCATATAAAAACCATAGTGGTCCTAATTCAGATGCAGTCATGTTCCACAAGGCATTGCGCATGATCAGATAGCGGCCTAAGAAAGCAAATGAGGCTGTGTGTTCTCCTCCATGCTGCAAGAATGAGGTGGCTCCTCCTAGAAACCTGGTGAGCATCAAATTTGCCCACAGGTTTCCCAAACCAAGACATGGCATATGTGCAAAGAAGCCTGCTTCAATGCACATGTCTCCCTTATTGCAACAAGGCATATAAATATATATATCTGTATATCAACAACAACAAGGAGGCACAATCCATCATGCTCAACTATTGTGAAACTGCCAATCCATTTAATAAGGCATGTGTGGGAATTTAAAATAGGGAAAGCAGGTCTGCGGTTCTCAAACCGCTTCAGTGTAAACCCAGCAACAGGTACAACTGAGTGCAATTGCTATGAAGATGCTGTACTGGCACTGCATTATTCTTCATTCTAACCTAGGCTGCATATACACTTTACCGTTAAAGCACATTCAAAGCATATTTTCCTCTCAAAGAATTCTGGGCACTATAGTTCATTCATTGATGATAGGAAATGCAGTTCTCTAAGGGGAAAACTACAGCACCTAGAATTTTGGAGAAGATTGCGTTTTTTATGTGCGTATACACAGTTATAGATTTACCACTTTGGAGCAGGTGATATTGGAAAAGAATTCCCAGGATAATGGCGTCTTGTTTCAATCCTCACGCTTTTGCATTAAATATTTACTTTTTTAAAAGAAAAAAGATGCTATTTTCCAAGAACTTTCCCCGTTATCAAGGCATTGTCCATGGCACATCACACACACAAAAATAACAGAAAAAGTTAAGTCCAACTTACAGAGTTTATGTTTTTAAATGCTAGCAGCAAGCCAGCATAGTAGTTCTACATCTTCCACAGTTTCCATTCTAAAGTGCAGTGTCATTAATGCATTTCCCTTCTTTAAAAGACTTAATTGTTCTGTCACATTATTTCCCAGATTTTTAAAGTTCTGTATTTTTAATGTGACAGTGCCATAAGCTTATAAAAGTCAATTTAAAATAAAGTCAAATTATGATTTTTTTAAAAAAAATGTTTTAAATGAACCTTTTAAAACAAACCTTTAAAGACCATGTACTACAGGCACCATTCAAAAATAAAATCAAAGATATAGAGTACTTCTTTCAGAAAGATTCCCGATATCTTTCCTTCTGCTACAAAACCTGCATGCAGGCATGACGAGGAGAAACTGCTGCTTCCACCTGTGTCATCTACATAGATGCATATGTGGGTGCTGGTGAAGTTTTTCAATTAGCTCTTCTTCTGTAGGTTCTTCCAAAACATCCCTAGAAGGTCAAAACAGGAGCCATTAGAAGTCAACAGAGCTAATGTCTCAGCGCAGATTTTGCACACCTTTATGTACTCTAGATATGAGGGATGCGGGTGGCGCTGTGGTCTAAACCACAGAGCCTAGGGCTTGCCGATCAAAAGGTTGGCGGTTCGAATCCCCGCAACGGGGTGAGCTCCCATTGCTTGGTCCCTGCTCCTGCCAGCCTAGCAGTTCGAAAGCACGTCAAAGTGCAAGTAGATAAATAGGTACTGCTCCGGCGGGAAGGTAAACGGCGTTTCTGTGCGCTGCTCTGGTTCTCCAGAAGCGGCTTAGTCATGCTGGCCACACGACCCGGAAGCTGTACTCTGGCTCCCTTGGCCTATAGAGTGAGATGAGCGCCGCAACCTCAGAGTCGTCCGCGACTGGACCTAACGGTCAGGGGTCCCTTTACCTTTACATACTCTAGATGCAACTTCTACAGTCGCTTGAACATATTTTTTTTAAATGATATTTATTAAAGTTTCAGAAAAGAGAGTTACATAAAAACAAGAAAAGCAAAAACAAAAGACAGAAGTAAAAATACAAGAAAAATACAAAATACAAAATACAGAATAAAAGAATAAAACAACACTTAAAAAAAAATAGATCAATCTTTCCATGCCTTACATTCATATCCTTGTTTCCCTGACCTCATACCTCCCTTTTTTGTATTCCAATTCAATTAGTTAATTCAGCAATTTCTTTCCCTCTTTATTTTCTCTTAATCCTTTAACTTAATATACTATAACTTTAAATTTTCACCTGTTATCAATCCATTTTTACATACACCTTTATAGCATTACTGCTTAAACCACCTAACTTCATTCTAACATCATTCTAACATTCATTAATTTTGCAATATTTCTGTAGATAGTCTTTAAATTTCTTCCAATCTTCTTCCACCAACTCTTCTCCCTGGTCTCGGATTCTGCCAGTCATTTCCGCCAATTCCATGTAGTCCATCACCTTCATCTGCCATTCTTCCAGAGTGGGTAGTTCTTGTGTCTTCCAATACTTTGCAATAAGTATTCTTGCTGCTGTTGTGGCATACATAAAGAAAGTTCTATCCTTCTTTAACACCAATTGGCCCACTATGCCCAGGAGAAAGGCCTCTGGTTTCTTCAAGAAGGTATATTTAAATACCTTTTTCAATTCATTATAGATCATCTCCCAGAAAGCCTTAATCCTTGGGCACGTCCACCAAAGGTGAAAGAATGTACCTTCAGTTTCTTTACATTTCCAACATTTATTGTCGGGCAAATGATGGATTTTTGCAAGCTTGACTGGTGTCATGTACCACCTGTATATCATTTTCATAATATTCTCTCTTAAGACATTGCTTGCTGTAAACTTCATACCTGTGGTCCATAACTGTTCCCAGTCAGCCATCATTATGTTATGTCCAACATCTTGAGCCCATTTAATCATAGCAGATTTCACCGTTTCATCCTGAGTATTCCATTTCAACAGCAAGTTATACATCTTTGACAAAATCTTAGTTTTGGGTTCTAACAGTTCTGTTTCTAATTTTGATTTTTCCACCTGGAAGCCAATTTTCTTATCCAAATTATATGCCTCCATTATCTGATAATAATGAAGCCAGTCTCGCACTTTGATTTTTAATTTCTCAAAACTCTGCAGTTTCAATCTATCTCCATCTTGTTCCAAAATTTCCCAATATTTCGGCCATTTGGCCTCCATATTGAGCTTTTTCAGAGCCTTCGCTTCCATCGGTGACAGCCATCTTGGAGTTTTATTTTCAAGTAGATCCTTATATCTTATCCAAACATTAAACAATGCTTTCCTGACAATATGGTTTTTAAATGCTTTATGTGCTTTGACCTTATCATACCACAGATATGCATGCCACCCAAATACATTGTTAAAACCTTCTAAGTCCAAAATGTCTGTGTTTTCCAGAAGCAGCCATTCTTTCAACCAGCAAAAAGCTGCTGATTCATAATAAAGTTTAAGGTCTGGCAGGGCAAATCCACCTCTTTCCTTTGCATCTGTTAGTATTTTAAATTTTATTCTAGGCTTCTTGCCCTGCCAGACAAATCTAGAAATATCTCTCTGCCACTTCTTGAAACAGTCCATTTTGTCCACAATTTGCAATGTTTGAAACAAAAACAACATTCTAGGCAATACATTCATTTTTATCGCAGCAATACGACCCAGCAGTGAAAGCTTCAAATTTGACCAAATTTCTAAATCTTTTTCACTTCAGCCCAGCATTTTTCATAGTTGTCTTTAAATAAATTCCCATTTTTTGCTGTCATGTTAATCCCCAGGTATTTCACTTTCTTAACCACTGTTAAGCCTGTCTCATTCTGAAACCTCTCTCTCTCAATCGGTGTTAAATTTTCTCTAAAACCTTGGTTTTTAACTTATTCAGTTTGAATCCTGCAACCTGACCAAATTCTTGAATCAGTTCTAAAACCCTTTTGGTACTAGATTCTGGCTCCTGTAACGTCAATACTAAGTCATCTGCAAATGCTCTCAATTTGTACTGTTTGGCTCCGACTTGTATACCTTTAACCAACTGGTCCCTTCTAATCATATTCAGCAAAACCTCCAGGACCGATATAAAAAGCAATGGGGAGATTGGGCAACCTTGTCGTGTCCCTTTTTCTATCTTAAATTCTTCCGTCACCACATTATTTACAATTAGTTTAGCCTTTTGTTCTGAATAAATTGCACTTATACCGTTTTCAAAGCCTTGGCCTACCCCCATCCCCTGTAGGTTCTTCTTCATAAAGCTCCAGGAAATATTGTCAAAAGCTTTCTCCGCGTCCACAAATATCAAAACTGCTTTAGTATTTATGTTCACTTGTAATTTTTCTAAGATGTTAATTATGTTTCTCACATTATCCGATAAGTGTCTACCCGGGAGAAAGCCTGCTTGGTCTTTATGAATCTCTTCCACTGACACTTTTTTAAATGTCTGCAAAAATTTTATAATCCACATTAAGCAATGAGATGGGACGGTAGTTCTTAAGTTGTGTCTTTTCAGTCTCTGTTTTCGGTACAAGTGTAATATACGCTTCTTTCCACGACTCTGGTGCCCTTTTCCCATCCATTATTTCGTTACAGACTTCCTTCAAAGGTTGTACCAACCATTCTTTTAAGGATCTGTAATATTTAGAGGTCAGTCCATCCGGTCCCGGAGATTTACCTAGTTGCATATTCTGAATGGCACCTTCTATCTCCTGTTCAGTTATTTTATAGTTCAACATTGATTTACTTTCCTGAGAGATTTTTTGTAATCCATTTGTTTTCAAAAATCGATCTAGATCATTTTCTTTCTGTGGTCCTTGTGTATATAGTTGTTTGAAATACCTCTGGAAACAATTTCTAATCTCGGCTGGGTTCTGTATATTCCTTCCTTCCACTTCTAAATTTGTAACTGTATTTAATTTTTGTCTTTTTTTCATTTGCCAAGCCAACAATTTCCCACATTTATTAGCCGACTCAAATGTTTTTTGTCTCATTTGTTTAATTTTCCATTCTATCTCCTGATTGATCATTTTCATATATTGTACTTGATATAATTTTATTTCTCTCAAAATCTCTTGCGACTTAGGTTTTGCTCTCAATTTCTTTTCACCTTCTTTTATTTTCTCCAAAATTTTATCCTTCTTCTCATTTTGAATTCTCTTCTTTAATGCATTCTGTTGTATCAAGAACCCTCTCATAACAGCTTTGCTAGCGTCCCAGATTACTCTTTTTCCACATTGGTGTTCATATTTATCTCAAAATAGTCTCTCAAGGTTTTTGGGCCTTTTATACACTTCTTCATCTCTGAATAAGGTGTCATTCATCCTCCATCTGAAGGAACCAGTTGGTGTTAGCTTCATCTCCATCTTTACAGCATTATGGTCGGAGCAGGTTTTTGGGCAGATTTCCACTTTTCTTATCTTTGGTGCCATTCCTCTAGTTACCCATATTTGGTCAATTCTTGTCCATGTCAGTTTGGCTTCAGAGAAGAAGGTTCCCTCTCTGGTCAAGGGATTCTTTGTTCTCCAAATATCAACTAAGTCCAAGTTGTCTGTCATCTCAAAAAAAGTTTTCGGTAATCTGCCGTCTTTAGTGACTACCTGTCTTTGTGCCTTATCCATATGTGTAGATACCACTCCATTCATGTCTCCCATCAAAATCACATTATAGTCCAAATAGTCCATCAAGGTCTCATGCAACTTTTTAAAAAATTCAGATTTCCCCTCATTTGGTGCATAAACTCCTACTATCAAAAATTTCTCTCCTTGTGTTTGAATTTCAATTGCCACGAATCTTCCTTGGTCATCTTTAAAGATAAATTTCAGTAATAGTCTCTCCTTTGCATAAATCACTACCCCTCTTTTTTTAACCTTGTCCGAAGAAATAAACTCCTGACCCAGTCTTTTATTAATCAGTACTTTCCTGTGTAGCCTTGTTACATTAATAACCTCTGTGGTGGCACACACTTTCTAAGTTGGTCTTCAAGGTACAGTTCACCCACAAAATGTTTTACAGTTATCCCATATGCTCTTGCAGAGAATATAAAAGAATCCAACATCAAAAGGGGATTCACTCTCTTTCAATCAGGGAAAATAATACATCTTTCTAAAATCTGGTACCACACTGTGTCTTGACCATACTGTGTCTATAAGGCTGGTCCCTATTGAATATTCTGATCTTTAATAGAGTTAAGAAACAATACTTGTGGAACACAAATTTCGTAGCCCTTAGGGAAATTCTAGTGTCAACAGCCATTCAACTACTCCTTAAAACGTGTTTTAAATCAGGAAATAAGATTAAGCACTCCATACTCACCGGAACATGAGTTCCATTGTCATCTGGTATTCAACTTCTGAGAGAGATGGTCGATGGCAGAGACGGTCCCATTTATGGATAAAATTCTGCCAGTGAAGAGAAAGAATGGGAAGAGGGCTATTTCAGGTGGTCTTTCTGAGAGGTTCTCATCTCCACACCCACCAGGCAAGCATGACTCTACTCATGGAAGCAACCATTCATGGAAGCCTAGCTGTATGCCTCATAAAAGTGAGGTGCACCAGGAGCAGTGGAAATCTGCTTTCCCAGATTTCATGGAAGTTGGTGGTGAAACTTCCATGACTTACCTGCCCCTAATCACCACAGCAGCCTTTCTGTGCTGAGTAAAAGACAGACAATTTGAACCCGCTCTAAGTCTCAGGATGTAAGGTGGCCCAGGCAAGGACAAAGCTTTTGAAATCAGTCTAAATATTGTTTGGGAGAGGTACAGATGTGTCTAAATGGCTATCAGCAAAATAAAAAAAGACGTTTTCATTGTACTTGGGTGTCAAGTCATTTAAGGCTTTGTACACTGGTTCTAACACTTTGGGCCTGGTAGTTCATGTGCAGGCAATGCAGTTCCCTGAGGAAAGCAGTGGTATATCTCTTGCCATATCGTTCAGCAAGTGGGCAGCAGTGTTCTGCACTAACTGCAGATTCCGGGCCATCTTCAATACTAGTCCCATGTAGAGGGAATGGCAGTAATCCATCCAGGAACATGGGTCACTGAGGCCCACTGAGGCCTCTTGGTCTAGGAATAAACACAGCCAGTGAACCAGCTTTATCTGGGTATATGTGACATCCCTTGCCTCCAACAACTGCTTAGAATTGAGGAGTAGCCCCAAGCTACATATATGCTTTCTCAAGTGATTTGCTACCCTGTCCAGAACAAGCTGACAGGCCTGTGCCTGAACCTGAGCCCTAAGGACCAACAGGGCCTCCTTCTTGTCAGGCTCCATTTTCAGTTTACTGACCCTCACCCAGCCTGTTGCTGCCTTCGGACACCGGTTCAGCAACTGAACAGCCCTTTCTGATTCAGATGGAATGGAGAGAAAGAGCTGGGCATCATCCGCATACTGACAACATTGTGTTCCAAATACTGCCTGTACGATAGCATAGCTTGCCTATTCCATTTATCCATCAGAGGGTTTGCTACTTCAAGAAGAACAAAAAGTGAATTCTCTTGGGATAATTAAGCCCATCGGCATTACCTCCAGAAGCAAAGCAATGAACAGATTGACCCAGATGACAGAGGAAATCAGCCACCAGGAGACAAAGTATAATTTTGACCATCTAGGGAGGGAAACAGATACATATATTTAAAGATAATCAAATAGCACCTATTATTCCAAATGAATGGGTTGGATCCAGACTTAATGATGCTTAGGCTAAGCCCATTGAAATAAATGGGATTTAAGTTAGTCAGGCATGATCAACTCTAGATTCAACCCAATGTGTGCTGCTCATGCAGGTGGACAGGCAGCCCACACATACTGGCAGACCTTCAGAGGAGGTCATTCAAAAAACACCGCATTGCAAGTTCCACAATCAGGGCATATTCCAATCCCAGCTCTCCCCAGTCATGAAAGATGAAACACAGCATTCCAAGAATGCTTTCTTCCAATATGTATGCCTGTGTGAACAGACATGAGCTTCAAAACATACAGACTAGCCCTGGTAAGTGACATGGAGCAGATTCGAGTTCTTTTTTGTCTAGCAGAATGGTCACCTTTAAGACTATCCCATTTCTCTTTATTTTTGCTCTGGACTTCACAAGGGATCCATGTGTTCTACTGGGGATAGGTCTCCTAGCTTACACATTTTCAAAAAATGAAATAATAAGCATGGTCCCCATAACCCTGGGTGCAGCCTGATCTCCATTAGGGGGTTATCCTACACTGTTTCTTAAAACTGCAGATTTTAGAGCTTTCCTATCATGCCCTGATATGTGCCTCTTTCTCCCACCCCATTCACCCGCCCACCAAACAGTACAATTTGTCTCATTCTGCTGTTCTTATTGGTTTCATTTATCATCCATAAAAGTATTTATTTTTTAAAGAACAAAATGTTGTAGAGAACTTTAAGAAACCTCACTCACTTGGTTGGTCCTGATAAAGGGACTAACTGCTGGTTGCTATGGGGTTATTTCTAAAGGGCCTACAAAATGCATCTCTCTGTGTTGAGTTTCTGAAGCAGCAGCACATGGCACTCTCCATACTGCAGAAGCAGACCAATTCTCTTTCCCCCAAAATGCAAAGATCTTTTTTACTTTGGAGACATCTGCCAAATGTACAGCTTCTGCCCATTACTTACGGAGATGAGTATCTGGAATATGCATCCAAGAAAACCTGCCAGTTGTTCACAACCATCACATCCCACAAAGTCACCAGGGATGCCTGAGGGACAAGAACGAAAAAATGAGCCGTAATGGAGATTATTCTAATTTGAGATTTAGAAGCAACAGCAAAGAGAGGAAACTGGTAGGTCTCAAACTGGTAGGGTAAATGTTGAAAATGACAAGAAATCCCTAATAAAAACACTCACCGCAAAGTCATCGAAGTTGTTTGGCCAATACTGCAGCTGTTCAAAGGTGCCGCACTGCAAAGTGGCATTTGTTGCATTGACACCGCTATAAACAGAAAATAAGCGTAAAGTAGTTTCATTATTGCGCACAATGCATTGCAGGACCAGATGAGATGCTGCTCTGCAGCTGGCTATGTTTGCACATGGAAATTACAACAAATTCTGCCTTAAAGCCACATTTAAGTGAGACTTACCTGATGCTTCCCGTAGGAGTAATGGCACCCCTAAACAGCTCCATCCCTACTATTGCAAATGCATAGAAAACCACCTGGAGAAGAATGAATTGGGCATCAGTTATTTTCTATTGATAAGCTACCAGTGCAAAGTCACTGGCAAGACGGTAGTCATTTTATAGGTAAGCTCAACGTTTTCCAGAGCACGCTAATCTTTGTTCACTTTTGAATTTTAATATAAGCAGTTTGGAAAAGAAGCGAAGACAGCAAAACCTCAAAGCACCTGCTCTGTAGTAATCTCACTGAAGCAAAATACAAGCCCTAGGAGCAGATTCATACACGGATGGGTGGCTCGCTCCAGGATCTTGGTGCATGCTCCTTCATGTGCCTTCTGGGCTTATTCAGATGACAGCATCATGTGCCCTTTCTGAATGCCTGCCTTGCTTTTCTAATACAGAACAACAAACCCCTGTGTTGCAAACTTAACACAACAAACAACACAAGCAACAAGACCAGTATACTAGATAGCACTGTAGTTCTTATTGCATAATATACATGATTTAGTACAACAAAAACAAAATGTAAATTCTCTAATATATTTGAAAACAAATGAACACACGTCTGTCAATCTTTGAAAGTCCGTAAAAGTATAATAAGTCTATGGTTGAAACAAAGTTATAGATGCTATCCTGTGGGGTGAGCGGTGTTGTTTGTTGCCTTGCTTTTCTGGCTTTGAGGATTGTGGTCAAACTTTCTAAAAGGCCTAATTACACCCACTGGCACATACAGATACAGACACATAAAAAGGAAGCTTGTGCTTCTCTGCAGCACATAGCTTATGGTTCGTGGAACAATCATTGGCCACATTATGATTCTCAGTGTCCTGACGCCCACTATTCCTTTGCTCAATTTTAAATAAATAAATAAATCATAGGAACATTTCCAACAGCTATCTGTGTTCAGATCAGAGATGACAGGCCCCTTTCCTAAGGGATTTGCCATCTAAAATATAGGCACATTGAAACAAGAGAGGAAACAGAGGCACAGGCAGTTGGAGGAAAGTGGCTATTTAAAACAAAAACAACAAACTTTTGCTTCTGGCCTTACTGGGATAGTTATTTGTTCCTACGCTTCCGTGATAGAAAACTCCCACAAATTGTCTGACAAGCTATTTGAGGGATTTATCTTCAGCTTGCAATTCCTAAATATGTCAACAGATGGCACTTCACCCTTTAGGACAGAGCTTTCTAAACTGTGTGTAGCAACACATTCATGTGTTGGCTACAGTGTGTAAGTGCTCCTCCCGGGGCTGGAAAGGGGTTAGTTTAACCTCCGGTTTGCTAGTAAAACTGAATTGCTGTGTCGTGAAATGATGCATGTCTAAAAAGTGTGCCACCAAGGTGAAAAGTTTGGAAAGCTCTGCTTTACGACAACTCTTATTTGTAGCCAATTAAGTTTTACTCTGATCGCCCAATGGGCTTGATCATTTCAATGGATTTACTACGAGTAAAATTTAGCTGACTACCACCATTTACTTTTATATAAGCATCTTGTATATTAAAAAAACAAACAAACCATAAATGATGCCACACATTATTATAGATAATGCTGTGATAATGGTGACCATACTGATCCCACTGGAGTGGCCAGAGTTTGCTTACATATATTCCATTGCCAAATATTGTTTTATAAATCTATTTCATTAAGATGAAACATAGAAGGAGAAATGAATCTTTCTTGGCTATCACTTACCACTAAGATCCCTGCGAAAGATCTTATGTTTTTCACAAGGTCCAACAGTGTACTGGCAACTAAGGACATGAACTGGAAAAAGAGATAGAATCATTAGGATTTTTTTTATTTTAAAAATAGTTCTTATACTTATGAGAACAGAGACTATAACCAAAATTCAGATAAAAGCAACACAGTGAAGCAGAAGTACCTTTATGTTAGGGATGATCCGCAGAAATCGGAACACAATCAGCATGTTTGCCAGGCGAACCATGTCCCACAGAGAGAGCAAGCCCAACATTTCAGGTCTCCTAGAATTAAGATACAAACAAAAAAACAAACAAAAAACCTGGGAGAACGAACCAACACTATAAACTACAACTGCTTTTCTAAGCCAACTAAAAGTGTGATCTTACTCAAGCAAGGTGTTCATGCCAGTATTGGGAAAAGGAACACAATGCCACACAGTCTTAAATTATCACCTTTGCCTTAAGAGTTATAAGCTGATAATGGCATGGTCATTTCCCCATCCTCAGATCACACTCACCGGTGACTATTTCAAGTGTTAATATGGCAGTGGGGAGGGTGAGGGAGGAAAATCATGCCTATTTGCTATCCTTTCCAAGCTGCAATGTTCCAACTGGCCTGCAACCCTCTTATCAAACTCCATTTTAAAGGGGCTTGAGACTGAAGAGAAATACAACATTTTGGCTATGATCATACAAAGCCCCATGGCTCTAAGCCAGCTCTTTCCTCTAAAAGGATTTTCTACTGTCCATTGAAGATACTTTCAGATCCCCATGTAATACAGATTATAAACCACTATGTCCCTCCTTACAGTCCCACATCATCATAATCATCAATATATTCCTACAAATAAAGAGATACCAGAATCAACCACTATCGGGAAAAACAACAGTTGATTTTAGAGCTGGATGTGAGGCAGCTCCTGGTCACTTTTACCCAGAAAGAATTCTAGCAAGAAGCAAAGTGGATGTTGGTTAAAGCATCAAAAGTTGCTGGTTTCTGGATAGCTGAAATTGCTTACAAAGAGCACATACCAGCCTCGATGAGGAAATCCATAGACAGCAAATGTTGACACCTCCAAAACCTTTGAGAAGAAGGAGCAGAGCAAAGTTATAGCAATTTCAATCGCTATTCAATAACTTAAATTTAGGTAGTAGAAAATATCTATTAGAAACAAATTTTCTGTTAACATGCTGGGGAGGGATCTTTATTACAAGCAAGGTCCTAAAAGTTTTTCTTTCTTTCTTTCTTCTTGATCCAACAAAATAGTTTTCACCCATGAAGGAAACGTAACCAACACAGTCATACTTTTAAACTCTTACAAACAGGAAGTTATTTTCGGATTTGACTGTGCAAAACACACACACACACACAGCCTGGGTGAAGTCACACGTACATTCTCTTTTCCTATCTTATCTCCAGCCAACAATTTGTGGTCAGTGGTCATCTTTACAGGGGGAAAAAAAACAGAATGGAACTTGTGTTGCAATACTCACCATCAGAACTACAGTCAGAAGGCCATCAAATATGTTGCTTGGATAAGATATGTATCTTTTTAACCCCAGTGCTAGAATTTTCAATGACATTTCCAGGAGGTAGTAGAAAATGAAGACACAGTTTATAACCTTGAAAATTTAGAATTGAGATGCACATTAAGAATTGAGCATTTGGAAGAGCAACTCTTACAGAGAAAGCCAGAGAAAGTGGCCTTACCCCTAAAAAAAAGTCATCCCGTGCAGCAGGTTGCTTATCTGCATCTAGTACCATGACCACCTTAAGGGGAAGAGAAACGGATACTGGTCAGTTGGCACCAAACTTTTAAACTACAACATTATGAAGTGTCCAGAGCAAAGTTGTTCTGAACTGGCACCTAGCACATAAAGCAAGATAGAAAAAGGAACAGACCGTAATTATAAAGACTGCATTCTCGCCTACTGACCATGGCAGCAGTCAAATATTTTGAGAATCTTCAACAGTTAGGACATACCTAAAAGCATATCCATGCATCTCTCATTCCTTTCCTGCAATAGACTGAGGCATCCCACAATAGGAAGACAAGAAATCTCTAGCTGTAAAGGCCACAAGGGACAGCAAGAATAGCAGCTATCTGATTTGCTTTGCTTTGCTTTGCTTTGTTGTAACTGGCATGCAGATACTGTTGGACTCCCATCAACCTCAGCCAGCATGGCCAATGGTCAAGGCTGCTGGAAGTTGCAGTGTGGCAACATCTGGAGGGCCACTGGTTCCCCACCACGACATTATCAGTTACTGGGGAGAATCAACAGGAAAGGGCTATCGCTGTGCTTCCTAAGAATATCTGCCTGGCTGCAAGTGGAATCAGGATGCTTCCTGGCGTCTTGGTCTGATCCAGTAGGGATTTTCTTATGAGAACAGTTGCTTCGCAGAAAATGACAAGAGAACTGGGCTACTAAACTGCCCTGTTAAAACTTGCCTTAATGTAAAATCACTACTGTTTGACACATGTTATACTTACGCACACAGACAAAACGTTTGCTACAGCAACAGCATTCCCTAAATAGCCAAAGTAACGGTGACCAAAGACAATTTGGATTCTCTGTAGAAAAGGTGACTGATAATCTGGCCTGTGAGGACGCTGAAAGGAAAGGATATGAGAGTCTTGTCAACATGACCTGCTGTTTCTCCAATAACACATGGCCTTGAGGAGGCATCTCTTTGACTTAGGATACACATCCCTGAGGCCTGCTGCGACAGCACTGTGACAGCTCCACACCTGTATGCAGCCCTTCCTTAGAGACCAAAAAGAAAAGGATGACAGGGAAACCGTCCCCACCCAGAAATCTCTGAGTGCAACAAGATTAATTCCCTGGCACAACACGATACCCACTGGCCCAGTTAATCATTTATTTGCTTAAAACTTAAAAAAAACAAAACACCCCCCAAAAATGCAACAAAAGTTCCAGTTATCAGCACTGATCATCAATCAAAGGGCTACAGTCAGTAGAAGATGATCTCGCTCAAATGATAGACTGTACAAATCTCTTGCATCAGTTATGGCATATTTGCGCCAATCAGTCAACAAAAAAACCCTCTTACCACATTGAGCCAGCTCAACATTACTACTAACTGGAATCTTTAGAAGTCCTTCTCTGGGAACCTTATATAACTGGCGGAAAGATGTATTCTGAACAGTTTTCATATGCATAGGGCAGTGTTTCCCAAACTTGGGTCTCCAGCTCTTTTTGAACTACAAATCCCATCACCCCTGACCACTGATTCTGCTGGCTATGGATGATGGGAGTTGTAGTCCAAAAACAGCAGGGGACCCAAGTTTGGGAACCTCTGGCATAGGGGATCTTTGTCTTGTATCTTAATTTTTAATTTTCTGCACATTTTTTGGAGCAGTCAGACCCTAATCAGAAAGCAAGGATTCATATCTCACTGACCAGCTATAATATATTATGTTCAGCTTTGCTTTCTTTTATTGGTAGGGGAGCAGTGATTTTCCAAATATGCTTTGAGATTTAGGAAACACAGGAGCCCTATGCATTCGTGAGCCATATATAGAACACTCCTTGGGTAGTGGCAGGAGTGAGGCCACACATCTATTCCCATCACTGGTGTTATGCCCTTGCCATTAAACTGCCCCCAACCTTCACATATTGAGCACAGAGGTCTGAAAAGGGAACCCTCTGCAGCCCACACACAGAGGCTCTACACAAGCAGGACACCCAAGCCATTGGGTGTCCCAGTTGCACGGAGCTTAGATGTGTGAGCAACTGCTTGCCTGAAGGGCCCATTGAGGCAGACACAGTGATGCACCATCAAAGGCAGGGCTTGAAGTGCAGCCCCACTCCTACTGAAGTATGGGAGTGTCCTACAGTCAAGTAGACACATCATTAGTGCTAAGAGGAAACAGAAATTGAAAGGTTACCGTTCTGCAGAGAAGCAAATGCACCAAAAAACAAACAAACCCCTATTCACAACTATTCCCATCAACTTTATCCAAGCAATTCTTTATTAGAACAACTCAGGATTAACTGCAGCTCCTTCAAGAGTTCTCAGACTCAACAAAGCTAGAAAATGTGAATATTTAAATTCTACAGGTAAAGGGAGGAAAGTTATATGCATGATTCAGACACAACTTTCATGACTAACACATAGCACGACTCTCAGTAAACTTGTACACCAGCCCCAAATGTACAATCAGCATTTGCCAGGCTGGTACCCTGCAGATGTTTTGGGCCACAGCTCCTATCTACCTCGGCCACCACACCTGGAGGGAACCTGGAAAGCTGGCATAAATGAAAGCCAGGTCCATACCTCTTTAACTTTGTGTTTGTCCAGTTCATCAAAGAGTAACTGAAACTGAGCAGAGGTCAGACCTCCTGGGGGACACAACTCAAGGTTCTGCATATACAAGAGAAACTGGAAGTTAACACACCAATGTTGTTGGTCAAGAACATTTTTTGAATGAAATCCAACTTCTCATTAAGTGAAAAAGGTGATTCCTACCCTAATGATTGCTTCCTTGCAGTCAGGATCCATTTTTACTCTATGAAGAACTTGAGCTAGAGTCTCCGCCTGGACACGCAAGCTACATAAACAAAGTTACGATGTGTGAGAAGGAATCGTTAACCTTCTGTTCCTTGTCTCTACCCATCCTATGTGTGCTTGACACCTTTCACTCACATGTTCTTATTGAGAGAAGTCTCCTTCAGAGAACAAAGAACTTCAAAGGCAGCCCGGATTCCTAAGCGCCTTCGGAAAAGTGAGGATTGAACCGATTTCTGAAACAGGAAGAAAAAATATATCCACCAACACATAGGAGAAAGTTACAGGCATGAAAAACACGAAGAACTAGAGAAGAGTCACTCTGTTTTGAAAGTGTCACATGGAGCAGAACACAAATCAAAGGCGCAAGTCCAAGACAAAAAGTCACTGGGGAAAAGCCCATCATGAGCTCCTGGCTTTCAGAACATCTTCATTGGCTGAACTGATTTTCTCACGCTTCCAGGTGAGGTGGCCAGATAAGCATCTCCTTGGGAAATGTTTGCTCAAATTTTGCTTTCTGAATGTTAAAGAATACGATTCTACCTCCATCACACAAGACAGCTGCAATGTGTACGTAAAAATCACAACCATGTACATGTGGAAGGGAGCGAAGCATGTGGATTTTCCTCACTCTGCCATCTCCCTCCTAAGGTGGCAATCACATGGGAAAGACCCTAAGCACCCACTCATGTGCTTGCAGCAGCAGCCACACATAAAACACAAGCACATGAGAGCCAACTGTGCCACAGCTGTATTCGTCCATGCCATAGCCAAAATCTTCTACCAAAGACTCCCTAAAACCCAGATTCCTGAAGGCTGTTGAAATACCCCAACAGCAGGAACTTGCTGCTCAGAAGCCCATGCTAGGTTTCATCATTTCAACAATATGTCATTTAGGTTTACTCACCAGAAGATAGCCACGAAACTGATTGTATATTATGGCTGTCAGCAAGTTCATCAGAAATAAGTTCCCTTAAGAAAAGAAAAAAATATTTACTTTAAAAAATATAGAAGCTGTGCTGTGTTTGTTCAATTGTAAACTGAGCAGAGACCCATATGAAGTCGCTAGGAATTTGCATCAAAACAGCAACAATAAGCAGAATTCCCAAGGTTAGCTGGTAAAATGGGAATTTGCTAGAATTATTTTACCACAAGTATGAATGCCACATTTTAAAACCTGTTCGTTCTAGTACACTCTTTCCAAAGGAAGGAAGGAAGAAGGTACCTTGTTTTTTTTAAAGACTGGCTTAGATAACTTTACGATGTATGAAAGTATAATGAATTTTAATCAGGTGTATTTTAAGTGTCAATAGTGTATGGAAGGTAATTTCTTCTGTCCCTAAATGTTATTTTATTTTCCCAGAGAAAGCCACAACTTCGGTAGAATACAGGGGAGGATGGGGAGTATAGTTAGGGTGCTTCCAAACAGAGGCTTAATTTGCAAACTGGTTGTGTGTGTGTGTGTGTGTGTGTGTGAGAGAGAGAGAGAGAGAGAGAGAGAGAGAGTCTTCCCCCACCAGTCAAAAAATGTAAATCTGAGTTAAAATGGGGAGAGAGATATTTTAATGCCAATGATGTCCTGTGGATGCTGAGGGGGGAAATGCATGAATGAGAAGTATCAATCTCAAAGAAGTCTGGAAACACCCTTATATAGAGACAAATAAAACAAAGGTCACACTGAATGACTTGCATAGGGATCTTATTCAAATGAAGTGGCAGCTTACCTATTACAGTGAAGAATATGAAGAAGATGGAATATGCTCGATTCTTAGAGTAGGCAGGAATCATCACTGTACAACAATTTTAAAGAAGGTTAGAAAGTAATAATGAATATATAAAATGCTGAAAAAGAGAAGCACACACACTGCTTATGTTGGGCCAATGAAGAAGTGTGCTCATTAAAACATATGTATACAATTATTTTTCAGATAAAGCTCAGGGCGAACCTCTACTTATGAGGGGGTTTTTTTGCTAGAAGCCAGATTTGCACAATACTAAATGGCCAGCCTTTATGCCAGTCACAAAGCCAACTTCTTCTTCTCTCCAAACAGTGTTTAAAAAATCAAGGCAAACACCAAGGAACACCTATCAGAGAAACATGCTAGGTGTTTGAAGAGACAAAAGAAGCAGTTAGTCAGCATGAAACATGGGGAAGAGAGACAAACTGAAAAAGGAAATCAGAATTCAATTTATACTGGGGTAGATAAGAGCTTACTCTACAGGTCAAAACCCATTATGAACTCCAATCCGTAAGTAAATAAGTTTAAAGGAAAACTAGAGTGAGGGGAGGGGGGGGTCTTCTGTATTTCTATGGTAGTAAAATCAGGCCTGAGATACAGTGAAAATGAAATAATTCGCGCTCACACTCCTAGCCAAATGTCTCAAAGTTTGCACCACCATGAAAAGCATGAATTTCCTCAAATCTTAATTCTCTTAACAGTAGAAAGTAAGAGAGGGGGAGAGACAGAATACATTTAGAAAGTTATGCTTACCATCTGGATTATTTGCAGTTGTCAGCAGTACCAGCAGGGAAGTTAATGAATCTGGCAAGTTGTGAAAATATCCTTGCCATTCCTTGTCCTGCTGGGCATCCTAGTCACAGAGAGCCAAGCCATTAGCAAAGCAATGCCAAGAGTCTGCCACAGCCATTTAAGAAGCATGCACAAGTCCTGGGATCACACTGTCTGACCCAAGTGCATGATGCCACACACACACACATAACTAGCTTATCAGGCAGATAGGACTGTGGAAGATCGGGGCCACACAACACAATGTTACAATAAATCCAGTTACTTCTGGCTTCAGAGAGACAGGTGAGTACTTCAGAAAAATATAATGTAAAACATGATATTCATTAAATTTCCACAAGACATACAACTAGTCTCAGGTGGCACTTTTTCTACTCTACTTGCACATAACAACATCATATATGAGCATCTTCCCAAAGTGGTCTTGTCTAAGCTGGTGTATGAATGCTAAGATGACTAGAATTAAGCCAGAATCTCTTAAAAAAAGAATATTCTTGATATAATATTGCATTTTAATATCTATATAATTCTTTAACATTTTATCATTTTTGTATCGTTATCATAAACTGGCATATTTGCAAACTATAACCCAAGAAAACCAATGGACTTTTATTTTTTCCAATGTTGTATTTAGAAAGCAAACACGTTTTTAAAAACCTGAGGGAAGGAAAGCAGCCGGGGGGGGGGGCACCTAGAATAGAAAATATTCAAGCAGCAAAAGGATTAAGTATCCGCTTCTGCTTGAGAACTGGAGCTGTGTTACAGAGATTTGTTCCTTACAAGCAGTCAGCTTCCAAGTGAATATGCTGGAAGAGAATTGGTACCAAACAGACTTCCGGTCGGCGCCATCGGTTAATGGCGGATTTCCCTCCGAGCTCCGGAGGGGGTCTGCTTTACAAGTTCGGGTCCTGTCGCTACGGCGAAGCGAGGACCCTCAAAAATTACAGGCGCGGAAGCCTGTGAACAAGGAGGCTCGGTGGGCACCATCGCGCCCCCCCGAAATCGCAAGGGAGCCTTTAAAAAGGCTCCGGAACGGCAGCGGGGGGAGAAGCGGTGCTGAGAGCCGCTACCCAGCTTGTGAAGCGAAGCCGCATCGCCATAGCCGGAGAGCGCCGATTCCTTCCTGAAAATTGGATTATAAAGTAAAACTCGTGAGTAAGACTGAGACCTAATTGGGATTTACAACTATCTTTTGAAATTTGGCTGAAAACGGGATTGGCTTAAAGTAAGGAAGTCAGCCTTTCCCGGACTGCATAAGGATAAAGCAAAGAAGGATTAAAAGCTGTAACCATTGAGAGATCGCAAAGAGCTAAGAGAACCAGACATAAACTGTGAACTTCCCCCCCTTTTGGTAGGCAGGAGCAAGGGGGAGGAAACTGTGATTAGAACCTGCCAGAAAAGGACTTTAAAAACTTTTCACCACTGTGTCAAACACCCCTGAAACGGACTGCCGGGGCAAAGGAACCTGGAGAGAGAGAACTGTCAGTGAACTGTCACTTGGATTGTTACATTGTTTTAAACTACTCAGCTCAGGAGAGATACTAAATTACAGGTTTGTTGAACTCTGAGAATTGATGAATCAAGAGATTGAATGGAAGATAAAACAAATGAGACAAAAGACATTTGAATCTGCAGATAAATGTGGTAAACTTCTGGCTTGGCAATTGAAGAAAAGACAGAAACTAAACACAGTTACAAGCCTAGAAGTGGATGGAAAGAATATATCTAAACCTAACGAGATAAGAAATTGTTTTTGAGTTATTTTAAAAACTATATTCACAAGGACCACAGAAGGAGGAGGATATAGAAGAATTTCTTAAAAAGTATGGAATACAAAAAATCTCTCACCAAAGTAAGGTGGATCTAAATCAGAGAATAACAGATCAAGAGATAGAGGGTGCCATTCAAAACATGCAACTGGGCAAATCTCCAGGACCAGATGGACTGACTTCCAGATATTATAATTATGAAAAAGAATCTTCATGGGATGGGGGTAGGCCAAGGATTCGAGAATGGTATGGGTGCCATATACACTGAACAAAAGGCTAAGTTGATTGTAAATAATGTGATAACTGAAGAATTTAAAATAGAGAAAGGGACACGACAGGGGTGCCCTATTTCCCCATTACTTTTTATTTCTGTTCTGGAGGTGTTGCTAAATATGATTAGAGATGACCAGCAGGTTAAAGGTGTACAGGTCGGAGCTAAACATTACAAGTTAAGGGCCTTTGCAGATGATTTAGTACTTACTTTACAAGAGCCAGACACTAGTACAAAAAGGGTGTTGGAGCTAATGCAAGAATTTGGCCAGGTAGCTGGATTTAAATTGAATAAACAAAAGACTAAAGTTTTGGAAAAAAATTTAACAGTCATGGAGAGGGAGAAGTTTCAGAATGAAACAGGTTTGACAGTGGTAAAGAAGGTGAAATACCTAGGGGTTTATTTGACATCTAAGAATTTGAACCTGTATAAAGACAATTATGAAAAATGTTGGTCGGAAATTAAAAAAGATCTAGAAATATGGTCAAATTTGAAATTGTCAATGTTAGGCCGAATTGCAGTTATTAAGATGAATGTATTGCCTAGAATGCTATTCTTGTTCCAAACATTACAAATTCTAGACAAGATAGACTGTTTCAAGAGGTGGCAGAAGGATATTTCGAAATTTGTCTGGCAGGGCAAAAAGCCCAGAATAAAATTTAAAATACTGACGGATGCAAAAGAAAGAGGGGGGTTTGCCCTGCCGGACTTAAAACTGTATTATGAAGCAGCAGCTTTTTGCTGGCTGAAAGAATGGATGCTCCTCGAGAATACAGACATCTTGGACTTAGAAGGTTTTAACAATACATTTGGTTGGCATGCATATTTATGGTATGATAAAATTAAGGTGCATAGGGCCTTTAAAAATCATATTGTCAGGAAAGCATTATATAACGTTTGGATAAGATATAAAGATTTGGTGGAAAGTAAGACCCCTAGATGGTTGTCACCTTTGGAAGCTACGGCGTTGAAAAAGCTTAATATGGAAGCCGAATGGCTAAAGTATCGGGAAATTTTGGAACAAGATGGAGATAAGTTGAAGCTACAGAGCTATGAGAAATTGAAACCCAAAGTACGAGATTGGCTCCATTATTATCAAATAATGGAGGTGTATAAACAAGACAGGAAAATTGGCTTCCAGGTGGAGAAATCAAAATTAGAAACTGAACTGTTAGAACCCAATACTAAGAACTTGTCAAGAATGTATAATTTGCTGCTGAAATGGAATACACAAGATGAAACAGTTAAATCAGCTATGATTAAGTGGGCACAGGACATTGGTCATAACATTATGTTTGCTGACTGGGAATGGTTGTGGAACACCGGTATAAAATTTACGGCATGTAATGCCATAAAGGAAAATATTATGAAAATGATCTATAGGTGGTACATGACTCCAGTCAAGCTAGCAAAAATTTATCATTTGCCTGATAATAAGTGTTGGAAGTGTAAAGAAACTGAAGGTACTTTTATCACCTTTGGTGGACGTGCCCAAAGATTAAGGCTTTCTGGGAAATGATATATAATGAAATGAAAAAGGTACTTAAATGTACTTTTCTGAAGAAACCAGAGGCCTTTCTCTTGGGCATTGCCGCCAATTGGTATCAAAGAAAGACAGAACTTTTTTTGTATGCTACGACAGCAGCAAGAATACTCATCGCAAAGTATTGGAAGACAGAAGAACTACCCACCTTGGAAGAGTGGCAGATGAAGGTTATAGACTATATGACATTGGCTGAGATGACTGGCAGAATCCGTGAGCAGGGGAAAGAGACGGTGGAAGAAGATTGGAAGAAATTTAAAATCTATCTAAAGAACTATTATAAAATTGAGGAATGTTAAAATGTCGAGGTTTGGAGAAAGAAAAGGAGATTACAGCGACATAAGATTAAGTTGAAGAAAAAAAAATAAGAAAAATATATTTGATAAAATTATTTAGAATTTGCTGAAATAATTTTGGAAATTGGGATGTAGGAAGGGGAGGTTTGGGGGGAGTCCGAGAAGAGAGGGTTATGAAAAAAAAAGGTTATGAAACTATACATGTTTGTATGTCTTTTTATTTGTTTGTATTGTATAAAACTTGTCTGTAAAATCAATAAAAAAATTATATTAAAAAAAAAAAAAAAAAGAGAATTGGTACCAAACATTTATTAGTACTATATACATGGGCTTGTGTGTGTTCACACATACACACACATATACCCACAGGAATAAGACCTCTGTATTTAAATACACAAGGGGGGAAAGCACAGCAAAGTTCAGAGTGCAAAGATTCAAGAAAGACACAGTGAAATGAAGACATCCGTCTTCTACACAGGCATTTATTTTGGAGTTTGTGGTGGTTTGCATGTGGTAACTATCACCTCAGTTTTTCTTAGAGGGAACAGTTTGCGGGGAAAGCTATCATGCTGCAGCATTTCATATATGTAATTTCTCTTATATGATTGGTCATGATATGGCAAGGGGGATTACCACTTTCTGCCGTGGAAAGTGCAAAGAGCTGAGGGAGGGAACTGAAAAGGGGAAGCTGGAGGAGTGATACTCTTTCCCACTTTTTTCAGCTATATCCGCTTTTCAGGCTAATTCTGCTGGATCCAACTTTTACAAAGATACTCTGGGAAAGCGAAGTGTGTACACACAAGCTTTATTTCCTTCTGATAAAGGGGGGAAATAATCCAGACCTTAACACTATGTCTAACACTATGTCTGAAACACAGAAAAGATAGAAAGGGGCAATATTTTTTTTCCAAAAACTTATTACATTTGCCAACATTTCTGACAATGCTCTCAAGACAACCAAACCCTACATGAATCGTTCATGTTAGTTACCTTCGTTCGAGCAAACAGCAGCATGCCAAACATGGTAAAGAGAAACAGGTGAACAGCTAATAGCAGCATAACACTATAAGGGAGAAAGCACAAATGCCAAAATTAGTACTTTCATTAAAATGTAAGGAGGATGCAAATGGAGAGATGTCAGACTACAACATTCAAATAAACCAGAATAACGCATTTTTGAAGAAGAAGAAGAAGTTACCCTCTATTCAGGAAATAATTTCTTTGGCTAAGGCATTTAAGTTAAATTTAGTCAAAACCTGGGAAGAAAGAGGATAAGAACATAGCACTGACGTACATCTTCCCATGGTAATGTAGAACTTTTCCTTGATAGATCCCTCTCAACAAGTTTCCACTATAGTCCAAAGACCCCAAAATTCACCCTCAACTTGCAAATGTTGTGCCAGAAGATTATCATCAAGATGGTTTTCCTGACTTCTCTCCACTTCCAACTGATTTCCAACCAGTCATTCCTTCAGGCAATTCCCAATTTCTACCCTTAGTTATGGTAGTGTGGTGACCCAACTCATACTTCATGGTAAATCATAATTAACAGTTTACTGCCTTCCAGATGTTGCATGGCCTATGGCCAAGAATGATGAGAGGTGTAAAACAACATCTGGAGGGCCACAGGCTCCCCACCCCAGGCTTACCATGAACACAATAATCTGGGTTGTTTTCTCACTTCCCACTGGTTCACAGAAGACAAAAACATCTTCTGTCCCTGGCTTAGTGTTATGTCTGAAGTGGGGACCATGGTTTATTTTGCTCATACAAACCATAATCATCATTCCAAAAACAAATTGGACATAAAATGTGGGCTGTTTTATCCACATGCTACGGGCAGGAGTAAAACATCCCAGATTGACATGTCATGGTAAACAACTGTGGTGCGCAAACTGGGCCACTATGGGGAAGTAAAGCCTACAGTATTTATTGATTTCTTATCTGCAGGCTGGAAGATAGTTGCTCTATTACTCCTTATTACCTTGTAATTTCTGGCAATGTCCTCTTGATGCTTTTTAGTGTCTTTTTCATCATTGAAGAGTTCTGAAGGAGGAAGAAAGGACGGAGGATTCGCCGTATTCTCAGACTCTAAGATTGAAGGGGATAAATTTTGCACTTGTTAATGACAAAAAAGCCAGCATCCAAACCAGAGAATGAATTTGCTTTTTAATGCAATGTCCACATGGGCTGCTCAAGCTGAACAGTAAAATTTAGTTTTGCAAAAATATAATGCAAGCACAAAAGGGAATAATTTCTTTATTTTTTTAACTGGAAGGCTGGTAACGAGACAAACAGGCAACATTTGATCACCCACATGATGTAATGACTACCAGTGTATAAATGGATGACAAGAAAGAAAAACAAGGTTTGAACAAATTAACTGGAGGCGGGGAAAACATAAACGATTAACCAAGGTGAATGCTCATTTTGGGGCCATCTCAGTGATTGTGTTCCTTGTGGAATTCCCCCATCAGAGATATCCAACAGGCGGCAACAATGCTATCATTTAAGGGCCATGCAGAAAACTTTTGTGTTCTTTCAGGTGTTTTAATGTATTTCCTTTTTTTAACAGATTGCTGCAGAGAGGGGAATTGGTTTTGGGGTATCTTGGTTTTGGGGGTTTTTATGTAAACTGCCCTGGAAGTTCTGCTGAATTGTGGCTGAATTGTGGCATAAAAATGTTTTCAATAAATAAATAGACACTTTCCAACTTAAGACTTCATATGTTAGCTAAATGCCACTAGAAAACTCTTTGTTGCTGTTGTTGCTAGAGCAGGTTAACCTGAGAATTCTTTAGAATGCTTTGAAGTCCGACAGAGGAAGGAAAAGATGGTTTGCTTCAGCTGCACCTGTTTTCACTGATATTGACAGTGGCATACTGAACCCTCACACAGCTAGCCAAGGAGAGAAGGACCTCAGGCCTTCTCCAAGTGATCAGCTCATCAGATGCAAAGTTTATATCTTTTGCAGTCATTGAAATAATAACCTTGGCATAAAATTCTGCAGATGGAGCAAAGCACAAAACTCTTCCTCTTTAGTTCCTCATACCTTTACATAATGTTAACATTTGGTTATCTTCATTTCCGGTGTAGGAGTTATTTCTAGTCAGCATACGTTCCAGGAAGAAAGTACAGGTACCAGAAGGGATGTTTCCAAAATCATTTTAAAAAACGCAACAAGTAGAAACACCACTGAAACAAACATACTTTCCAAAGAAACAAACTTCAAACACTCATACCTGGCTCAGCTGTTATATAACTGGGTGTCAACTGCAAATTAGTGATGCCTTGTTCCAGCCTGGAATCTTCTGCATGCAAAGCAGAAACTCTGTCACTGAGCTATGGCCTCTCCTTGTGGGGTTTACCGGCTAGTAATTCACAGCTTGGTTATAATGTATTATTGTTTACAGTGGTTTGAATGACATTGTGTTGCTATTATGGGCATTTTGTTGTACTGTCTTTATATATTGTGAACTGCTCCAGCATCGTGTCAATGAAAAGTAGTACAGTGGTACCTCAGGTTACATACGCTTCAGGTTACAGACTCCACTAACCCAGAAATAGTGCTTCAGGTTAAGAACTTTGCTTCAGGATGAGAACAGAAATTGTGCTCCGGTGGCGCAGCAGCAGCAGGAGGCCCCATTAGCTAAAGTGGTGCTTCAGGTTAAAAACAGTTTCAGGTTAAGTACGGACCTCCGGAACAAATTAAGTACTTAACCCAAGGTACCACTGTATAGAGATATTTTAAATATAATAAAATTAAAAAGTTAAACATTACAAAGTTACCCAGTGTGCTTCAGGACTGAATGGAGATTTGAACTTTCAGCTGAGATGCCAATATGGAATGAAGGCTAGAGTGTTAAAAGGAAATGAGGGAGACCCAGATTCAAGTTCCCACTTAGACAGGAAGTGCACTGGGTGACTCTGGGCCTAACCTACCTCACAGGATAACATGGGGGAGGAAGAGGTTAGGAGGACAGGATAAAAAGGCCAATGACAACAACTTCACAGCAGAGTGGGACTTTGAGCTGTGCTTGCTCCAAGTTGTAAGTATATAAGCAGAGGATGCTCTCAGATTACAAACTCAAAAGTTTTGCAAAAGTAAAAATGTTTTTGTTGCTTGCTCAACTTGCTCAATCTGACCCTCCTTCTCTGTAGCCCCTGCCTCAGTGACATACACACATATAATCCTTACCTCACCACAGGAAGAGCTCAGTGAAACAGTCCAGTCTGCAAGGGAGACTACCAGCACCAGGATATATGCCATCAACCACTTGGTTTTCCGAAACTCTTCCCATCCTATTAAGTAACTCTGATGAAGCAATACAATACATGTTTAAACAGTTGTTAGATCACTGTAACATTTTCTTTCGCAGAAAGATTTACAAAACTAAAGTGCGACTAATTTTGATATACTCTTTCTAAAAAGGGCTGGACCAGTCATCATGAAAATGAAGCCTTCACTGATGGGGAGGCTTTTCAAAAGAGCCATTTCCTAATTTTCCCATTTCTGAAGCATAGAGCCCAGAATCATGTTGGAATTCATTGGTTATTCCATATATTCCACATAGGGAAGTGTGGGCAATTCAAATGCACCTCATGAACCTGGAGATTTTCCAAGTGGCATCAAATGTGTCATTGCTCACCTTTACAGAGACATCTGCTATAAAGACAAGGAAGCAAAGCAGCTCAATGCTCTCCGTCAAGCCACAAGGAGGCTCCCAGGGTTCCAAGCGGTATCGTATGTCCGACGTGACAGTAAATGAAGAAGGCGTTTCGATGAAAGCAAGAGCCAGGATTAGTGTAATGGTGGCAATCAAAATCCTTTAAGAGCAAAGGAAGATCAATGTGATTACTGAATGAAAAACATATCCTCCTAAAAGCTACTTGGCCAAAAAGAATATACAGCCATACAATCGCTTAATATCAGGAGCAGTTAAAACGCATAGTATATGGGATTGAGCCTAACTGGACAACTGAAAGCCTTTTTATAGCACAATGATGTGCAATAGTTACCTCCCTGCAAAGTGATAGTACAGCAGAAAGAGATCAAGCCCTTCATTCCAATCTCTTTGGACCGAAAGCCGGCCAAGCCATTCAGGCATCACCTAGTACATTCAGTGACATGCTTTTAGTTCAGAAATCAAAAAACAAATAAAAATGGCTTCAGCTCACAGGATCAGCTCAGACAGGTTTTTGCTCCACACCCAAGTAGTGCTAACTGTTCTCTAAACAAGGACCAGAGGGGCATACGAACGACGAGAGCAAAAAATTCAGCCAGCTGCAGCACCATTCTTTTCCAGCTATTGCTGCCAGTTATACCTGCAATTGCTTGGTTCACATGTTACACTGTTAGGCGAATGCATACCGTATTTTTCGGACCATAGGACGCACTTTTTCCCCTCCAAAAATGAAGGGGAAATGTGTGTGCGTCCTATGGAGCGAATGCAGACTCCTCGGCTTCAGCGATAGCAATGCGAAGCCTCCGAAGCCTGCGCTCCGGAGGCTTCGCGTTGCTTCCGCTGAAGCCAGGAGAGTCTGCTCTTTGGGGCTGGCGATGGGGGAAGCAGCGCTTCCCCATCGCCAGCCCCAGAGGATGGGGGGGGGCAGCGGGAAGGCGCGCAACGCCGTGCCGCTACCATCCAACCCGGCTTCGAGGATTGCGGTGGGGAACGCCGCGCATCCCCCCTCGCCAGCCCCAGAGGATGGGCGGCAGCAGGAAGGCGCGCGACGCCTTGCCGCTACCCTCCAACCCGGCGTCGAGGCTGGCGGTGGGGAAAGCAGCGCTTCCCCCATCGCCAGCCCCAGAGGATGGGGGGCAGCAGGAAGGCGCGCGACGCCTTGCCGCTACCCTCCAACCCGGCTTCGAGGCTGGCGGTGGGGAAAGCAGCGCTTCCCCCATCGCCAGCCCCAGAGGATGGGGGGCAGCAGGAAGGCGCGCGACGCCTTGCCGCTACCCTCCAACCCGGCTGCGAGGCTGGCGGTGGGGAATGCAGCGCGTCCCCATCGCCAGCCCCAGAGGATGGGGGGCAGCAGGAAGGCGCGCGACGCCGTGCCGCTACCCTCCAACCCGGCTCGAGGCTGGCGGTGGGGAAAGCAGCGCTTCCCCATCGCCAGCCCCAGAGGATGGGGCAGCGGGAAGGCGCGCGACGCCCTCCCGCTACTCTCCAACCCTCCTTTGGGCTTTTGCGGGAGATGGGGAATTCCCCACCTCCCGCAAAAGCAGGCAAAGCCGCGCGCTCTTTAAAGGGCTCCATGGCTTTTCTAGGAGGTGGGGAATTCCCCACCTCCTAGAAAAGCCCGCAGGAGCCGCACACCCTTTAAAGAGCAAGCGGCTCTTGGGGCTTTTCCCCAAGGAGGGAGAAGGGACTGACTCGGCCAGTCAGTCCCTTCTCCCTCCTGCGGGCTGTGGGGGGAGATGGGGGACTTCCCCCACCTCCCGCAAAAGCCCGCACAAGCCGCGCCCTCGTTAAAGGGGCTCCGCGGCTTCTGCTGGCTTTTCTACGGGGGGGGAATTCCCCCACCTCCTAGAAAAGCCCGCAGGAGCCGCGCACCCTTTAAAGAGCGAGCGGCTCTTGGGGGCTTTTCCCCCAGGAGGGAGAAGGGACTGACTCGGCCAGTCAGTCCCTTCTCCTTCCTAGGGAGCTTTGGGGGAGATGGGGAATTCCCCACCTCCCGCAAACGCCCGCAAAAGCCTCGTGCTCTTTAAAGGGGCTCCGCGGCTACTGCTGGCTTTTCTACGAGGGGGGGGGGGGAATTCCCCCACCTCCTAGAAAAGCCTGCAGGAGCCGCGCACCCTTTAAATAGCGCGCCGTCTTGGGGGCTTTTCCCGAGGAGGGAGAAGGACTGACTGGCCGTTTCAGTCCCTTCTCCCTCCTGGTCGAAAAGCCCGCAGGAGTCGCGCGGGCTCTGTGGGCTTTTGCGGGAGGTGGGGGAATTCCGCCACCTCCCGCAAAAGCAGGGAGATGGTCTTGGTGTAGCGGACAGGCGGCGTGCCGCCTGTCCGCTGCTCCCAGAGCTGCGGGGGGGAAATCATATTTTTTTCCTTGATTTCCCCCCCTGAAAACTAGGTGCGTCCTATGGGCCGGTGCGTCCTATAGTCCGAAAAATACGGTATATTAGGTTGGTAAGGATAGCATGCCCTTGGAAGAGGGTGAAAGTTTTGTGTGGACTGATACATGATGAAGCCACTGTATCTACAAGTGTGAATAGCTGATACGATGACTATTAATAGTAAAACCATTTTTTTAAAATTAGTTTTTACTTGAGGTTTTTTCTGTTACAAAAGAAACGAACAGGGGAAAGTACATATAGCGTCTCTACTTTAGAATCTTTTTCACAGTTCATTTACATTCAGTATGAGACACTGTGCGACTGGGGGAAAGAGGGGAGAGAGGGAGGGAGAGGGTGGGATAATGAACTTTTATTCTATTGCATAGTTTTTGTGCAGGGTTTTTGGGTCAGCATCACCTGAGTAGGTGTTTTATTTATATATGGGTTCATTTTTATTGGCATTGCGAGAGATTGGGAGGGGGATGTTCCAAAGCTTGGTTGGTTGTGTTTGGTTGGTTGCAGCATGGTTTGTTTACATGTGTTAGAGGGGCGAGTGTTGGGTCTTATTAGCCATATTGATGTGTATGCTGTGGGGGGGTTTTGGGGGGGGTAGGCAACCACCCTACTAGTAAAGTTAACCAACAAACTTAAACTAGCATAGAGACAATCAAAGGAGGACACCTTCACCCCAGTGTGGGTCCCCTTTATCAAATATACAATGCAACAAGACAATGACCTAATGGTAGTACCATTGTTAATGCTGCAGTGCTCACAGAGAGGCCTTTAAAAATGTGGCTGATAAAACCAAGCCCTTTTTTGCAATAGCGAACACTGCAGATCAGGCATGGGGAATCTCTGGCCCTCCAAATGTTGCTGAACCACAATTCCCATCAACACCAGCAAGTGCTGCCAATGGCAACATTTGATGGAAGTTGTAGTTCAGCAACATCTGGAGGGCCAAAGATTTCCAACACCTGCTATAGATACCACACGTATTTGAGTGATATTCCTCACTTTCAAGCCATGAGGATTTAAATTATCACCAACACGTTTTGGCATTCTTGCCATTTGCAACTAAGCTTGTGATAGTGAGGATCTGGAAATGTGACATTTTCCTAGCTTAGGAGATGAAGGCTGACAAAGTCGGGAACTGGTGCTGAACTATGACAGGTTCTTTTCAGTAGCAACCCATGTCCTATGGAACGCCCTGGGGGGGTGTCATTGGCCTATGTTATTAATGTTTAGGCAGGATTTTAAAACATTCCTGTTCGCTCATGCATTTGGTGGCTGAAAAATACATTCTGGCAGCTTTCAAATGATTAATTGTGAGGATATTTGGCTTGTTTCTAAACAAGTAAATTTGTTTTGTTGTTTGCCACTCTGGGGTACTTTGGGAAGAAGGGCAGGAATAAAGGATGATTAATAACATGGAATGTATCACAACTTAAAACAGGGTAGAGGGTATCTGCATTTATTTTTGTAATCCTGGGAATTTTTCTTAAGGATTTCTTTTTAAAAATGAATTGACAATATGACAACACTCGCAACCTGTGAACAGAATGCTTACAGATACAGACTTTGCTTGGATAAATATGATAATATTTGGAAGGACTTTATGCAAAATGTAGTAGGCTATTAACATTTACATACTGTAAGTATTAAGGATAATAACACGATACCAATTTATATAAGAATGTATGGAAATATAATATATTCATTTTTGCATATCTGTCTATCTATTCTTTTCATATGTGTCTTTGTTGTTATTTCCCCCCTTACTTTCCCTTCTTTTTTTCTGTTTCACTTTATTTCTTTTAATTGAAATAACTTCCAAAAAAATATAAATAACCAAAAAAAGAAAAAGGAAGAAATAAGAAATGTAGGTGGTATTCACTTAAACAGGATTAACACCACCACAAAGGGATTGCCCCCTCCTCCCCACGCTATCCCCAAAGCTACTCTGGAGGGTTGGGGGATCCCCCAGAACAGATGCAGGGGGGCACAGAGGAGGAGCACATTCTGCTTAACATTATGTTGAATTCAACTCGTGGGTTGAAATCCTATGTATACTATGTATAAGTTCTCTTGAATGCAGTGGGTTGTATTTCTGAGTAGACATGCATAGGATTGTGCTATTCAACCATTTCTGGTTTCCCATACCTCTGCTTTCATCCAGTGGGGTGTTATGCTATCACAAGAGCAGGCAAAAGTGCAAATTCTGTTTCATCTTATAAACATCATTTTAAATAAAGATTTAAATTGTGGCTGAAATACTCTAATAAGGCCTCTGACTAAAGGTTGGTGGGGAACAGCAGCTGTGGAGTGCTGCTGCACTCACATTCTGTTTGTGAGTTTTCCACAGGCATTTGGTTGGACGGGGTGATTTTATATCTGTGATGACTAGCAATATTTGTAGCAATGTCACATTGTTTAGCAAAAGGTCTCTTTCTCCAGCCTACCAACTTGGGAGTGCTGGAGAGAGGCATCATGGTTATTGCTGCAAAATGAAAGTGGCCAACGTAGCTGCTGACTTGCAGAAGCCAGATAGGAAATCCCAAGAGGGATAGTTAGGAAAATACAAAAATGCCTTGGATTGACAGAGGAACCAAGGATTTGTGGAGTCAGAGAGTGACAGAGGCTCTAAGCATCAGAGATAAGCAAGAGAAAAGAGCCCAGTTTCTCACCATTGGCAAACTTCTGAGTAATACCGCCGATAAAGCCACAAGGAGTAAGAATCCACACGGTGATTTATGGAACGATACTAGAGAGATGAAAGGCAAGATTGATCGCTCAGGCATCACAATTGCTCTGTTATTCAAAGTCAAGCCATATCAATTGATATAGGCATGCACTATTCAAGGCAACATCCACTAACCTTTAAACAAGCTGATTTCCCAACACGGAACGGCTCTTACAATTGCCATGAGCAATAATTATGCAATCCCGGTTGTCCAAAGAGATGTAAACACAAATATGCAGAAATCAAGCTTCCCTAAAATTATTTAGGGCAGTCTCTTACTGCACAGCTGGTAAGACCAGACTGCTGAGCCTAACGTTAATGTAACTGTGTGCCATAAACTGGCAGCTCACCAGGAAAACAGAATACTCAAGTCCTATGCAATAGTTTATTTTGCTGGGCACTAATCAGTTATCTCCACTTTGGCCATAGCCTGGCAGATGAGACATTTACCTGAATTGCATCTTCAATGAACACTACTGCTTGGTTCAAGTAGGGATTTTGGTCATCGGCAACTGCAAAGATACAACAGTCATTTCTGTGATCCCAACAAAGCTAATAGCTAGTTTCATTAATCATGAAGATCCCACACAAAGTGTTGGTATTGCTTAATTTAGCCTTTTGGCTGCTGAGGATGTCAGACTATGTGTCATCACATCTCAAGCCTCTTTTCAGTGAATACAATAGGAGAAGGAAGGAGGAAAGGAAGCTGAGAGCCCTTCTACTGACCTACCATCAGGATTAATACAAGGCTCTGTGTATTAATCCAAGCACTGGATTTTAGGTTATCTAAACCAATATAACAGCAGTAATGACGTGAACATTCATGTGTTAGCCTTATACCTATCTCTGCTGTGCTGAGCTCGCATATATTAGGAAGGAAGACTGAAGATGCCACCAGTGCCAAATTTGTGCTAAAACAAACAAACAAAAATCAATTGAGGAGAAATCTGTAATGTTCCCCTTAAAGCAGAGATGGAGAACCTTCAGCCTTTGGGCAAATCATGGTCCAGCAGGGGTTCCAATATGGCACATGAGACCATTTTTCTTAAACCATGGCCACCTGACAATTTGGTAACATCATCCTAATAGGTGGGTGACATTGCCTTAATGGCAGGACACCAAACTGCTTCATTAGTTTCCTTTAGAAATGGTTCAGAGTTTATTGCTAATGTGCCCAAAAAGTACTTTTTTTCTAAAGAGCCAGAATGCTATATAGTCATATTTCAGGAACTTTGGCATCAAGAAAAAAAGTATTTTTGAATTACAGTGGTACCTCAGGTTACATACGCTTCAGGTTACATATGCTTCAGGTTACAGACTCCGCTAACCCAGAAATAGTGCTTCAGGTTAAGAACTTTGCTTCAGGATGAGAACAGAAATTGTACTCCGGCGGCGCAGCAGCAGGAGGAGGCCCCATTAGCTAAAGTGGTGCTTCAGGTTAAGAACAGTTTCAGGTTAAGTACGGACCTCCAGAACAAATTAAGTACTTAACACGAGGTACCAATGTACTGGCTAATCTTCAGCTTTTTTTGTGTGGCTGAACCTTCAAAAACTAATGTTAATTGAGTGGTCCGGAAGGAATATGAGGGGCCATTCACAATTACCCTTTTGATCATGATTTCAGTCATTTTGGACAGTTTCCTGGTTAACAGGATGCGACAAGAATGTTCTGGCTCCCACCTATTTCCTTTCTGATTTCCAGCTGCAATCACATCTACATGCTAAAGCATGTCCAGTGAGAAATTTCACGTGCAGCGCAATGCTCTGCATATTTGCTCTGAAGTAATTCTCACTGTGCTCCTCAGAGCTTCCTCCCTAATATGTCTTCTCAGGCTTGCAACCTAAGACACTCTTGATTTACTTCAAAACTGCCTCATACATGAGGTAATTTTCACATTGTTTACCGCTTCCCTCTTGTTTAAGATGAAAGGGTTTTAACTCAAGGAAACAGCAGCAATTGTAAATAGAGGGTTGCAGCAGATTACCCCTCATTTGGTGCTGTCCTTACTTTCACTCTCCTCCACCAAGGGCATGCAGGCAAGTAAATTAGCAGAGGGAGTACTGACAAATCCGCATGGTGAAACCAATTACAGGAAAGCAGCAACAAACCATTCCTGTAACAAGCAAGTCTGAGACTTTTGGATACAAAGTTGCACCCAAAATAGGCAGTGAGCCAACAAGCAAGATCACATATCAGGCTCTATGGAATAAGAAGCTCTAGAAGCAAACATGCATGTTAAGAGCTGTGCTCTTGCATCACTCCCATCCATTGTAATGAAGCTTGTGAAGACGTTCTTGGTGGACTGGGGTCCAAATCCTAAAAGTAGACACCAGGGAATGCAATAGAAGCACTCAAGAGACAAGTGCATTGCCCTTCTAAAGCCGGAATAGCTCAGGAGAAGGAACCTCCATCCCAGACATAGCCAACATGGTACCCTTCAGATGTTTTGGACTGCAACTTGCATCATCAATGGTCAATGGTTAGGGATAATGGAAGTTGTGATCCACATCTGCAAGGCGCATTGACTTCCCATGTTCTAGCTCCTTGTCTGCAGGAGATAAAATTCTGGAACATACTGCAAAGCTCACAGCAGGCTGCCCAGCTCAGATACCCAGTGAACTTCCCTTTCTTCCAGTTTTGCAACTGAAGTGACAGCTGTATATAGCAGGAAACAAATGCCAATGCTGCCATGATGGGTCTTGTCCCTATGCTGCTTTGCCCAGGCTGCCCAACATTTTAAAAAGCACCATTTGCAAGTTAATCTATTCAATTAATATTTTTTAAAGGAAACGTTTTAAAGTGCAAAATTGCCCTGAAGATGGAAAAAGAGGAAATTGGGGGCTAGACTATGGCCATCAGTCAATCAGTCTTGTGCAAACAAACTTCTGCTGCAAACTTGCAGTACTACTCCCACCACCACACAAAGTTCCACATTAGAAGGAATGGTGCATCTGAACTGAACACAGTGATGTACCTTCAGTGTCGAAGGTGGTATGCCTCCAGTGTTAGAAACTGGGATAGGAAAGCTAGGAGCGAAATGACTCCTGGGACCTGGGTTGTGGGCGCCAAAACAGAATGTCTAGTCGCCGGGGGAGGGGGAGTTGGCAACACTTTTTATTTATTACTTTGATAATATGCAATTCACATAAGTAACACATTGTTAATACTACATTTTTAACATAAATTGTTAAAACATGTTTAATTTGGTGTTTACAATAAAAAATATTGGTACCATACTTCTGTTTTCAAAACACTCTACTCTTTATTGTTAAACTCCTTAACATATTGTCTATCCTTAACATATACTACGAAGCTTCAAAGAACGTATATTTCAGTAATCCTTGAGTGTCAGCCAGGTGCAAAAAATGGCACCCAGGCTTTTGGAGGTGCTCGTAAATGGAGAATCTTTAGGTGCAAAATGCACCTGACACCCTGCTAATTTCGAACCCTGTATGCCTCTGAATACTAGTCACTGGGGATGCATATAGGGAGAGTGCTGCTGCACTCATGCCCTTCTAGCAGATTTCCTGTAGACATTTGGTTGGCCACTGATGCTAGACTAGATGGACCTTTGGCATGATCCAGCAAGGGCACTCTGTATGTTCTTACATGCTTCAAACACAGCCCCCCTGTTCTAAAAATGTTGTGCCCTTCTCTTAAGCCAAGTATTCACGTTGTCCAGGAAAGTATGAACAAATGATTTCCAAATGTTATTGTGGGTGGAACTTGGGTGTGCCCTAGAGATTATAGGGAGAGTGACTTCTCAAGATGTGGAAATGAATGACTAATCCCCAACACAGATGAATCGTCTCAGTTAAAAACTTGGATGTAAATGGTGCCCGTCACTACGCTGACATTTACCATAGCACTGTGCATCTACAGTACTTTAGAGTTCAAATAATTCAGGGAAAAGGCACAAAAGTCTGAGCTAGACTTAGCTATTGCAAATGCAAATGACTGATGGGAGTGCATGAAATCCTTGCTGAAACAATATGTAAACATGTTCTATGAAAATCGATTGCTTTCCTACTGTTATGTGAACTGTGGAGTTCCTGTTCTGTATTTATTGGGAGGGTATCCCTGGGGATGTGGCACTGGACCTGCAACATTCCAGGCCATGGAATTGTTTGTACGATTTAACATGGGTGGATTAGTAAATGGCTCTGTAATCCAGAAATGCAGACAGTCAATTAGCAGATCTGCTGTACCACTTCCATCACAGAAGTTGACACAAGGCACAAGAAGTATGCATCCAATGTTGATGTTTCATTGTACCATCTAAAGTACAGGCTCTATAGGTATTGTCCTACATGGCACCCATGTAATTTTCTCTCTCTCTCTGCTCTTTCTTGCAACTCCAGCTTACCCAACAATATTTAAGCAGGCAAAGAAGTAAAACAGAAGGAATGCTGCCACACCTACCCAGCAGAGACCATCATAAACAGGAGGCTACGGTTACAGCACAGCAAACGGTGGGGCAAAAGCCTGTAACAGCGATTAATTTCTAATCCTGAGAAAGTTGCATTTGCTGCTCTGAAAATGCCTCACGAGGTCTCTGAGGTGCTGGTAGCGGACCTTGAGTCCTCCTGTCTGCACATGTTCAGGGGCACTTTAGAACCCATGCAGGCCTTACTGACCAAGGGCGCCCATTTTCAGTGCAAGGGCTCCCTGAGCAGGAACAAACTCCTCTGTTGTGAAAGCTATGCGATTCCACACCTAACTTACCGGGGAGAGGAAACCCTATTGAGAGAAAGCATGCAGAGATGGATGTAATAATGGAATGATGAACGGTTTAGTTTTTGTAAAAGATGCAGGGATTTATGATATACAAAATGGGCCATGGAAAGAGAAGGAGGAAAGTCACTGGTATTTTAAGGATGTTTAAATGAGTATTTAAAATGGTAAAACAGAAAATTGAATAAAAATTAGAGAGAGAGAGAGAGAGAGAGAGAGAGCGCATGCCGAGGCTTGTGCTGCAGGCGCCTCACCCCCCACCCCCTCCAATCAGCCCCCTGCAGGTGAGGATGAAGGGACGGCTCTTGGGCATCACAGGATGCAACTTCTAGGTTGGCTCAAGCCCGGGCACCTCCAGGGTCAGAACTCGAGCCCTGCAGTGGACTCGCTCTTGCCCCACCAGCCCTGCCCGGCCCGCGTCCCCGGCTTCAGGATCCAGCAGTCGATTCCCCACCGACGTCGACGCCCCCCTGGGCTCACCGTTCCCGCCCGGGGGAGACCGGGAGGCCTCGGAGCCGCCGCCGTCTCCTCCGTCGCCCGAGGCGGCGCTGTCCCCGCCCGAGTAGAGGCGCCCCAGCCCTCGGGGGCCGCCGGGAGCCGCCGTCGGCGGCGGCGCCGCGAGCAGAGGCTCTCTTTCGGGGTTGCCTGCCTCCTCCATGGCGAGCGGAAGCGGCTCCCGAAGCTGGAGGAGGCGGAGGCAGCCGGGCGAGCCGAGGGGGCGGGACTCTGGCGCGGAGCCCGGGGCCCTCCGTCCGCGCCGCGCGGGGGGAGGAGCCGCTTTCCCCACAGGGTGGGCTGTCGCCTCAGTGCCGCTCCGGCTGTGGCGCCCAATAGTCGGGAGCGGGGCGGGGCTTCCTCCGCGGGGGGGGGGGAGAAGGGGCAGTTCGCGCGGTTCGCCCGTTTCGCAGCGCTGCTGAGCCGCGGGCGCTCCTCTTCTGCGCGGCCGTCGAACTCCCGTGCGATTCTGGTCTTGCTGAGAGGGGGACTAAAGGGCCAGACCCGCGGGATCTTCCCTGATCCGAAGAATCTTCGGTCTATAGAGCATGTGGCAAATAAAGATCCCTGCATTGCAGGGGGTTGGACTAGATGACCCTCGCGGTCCCATCCAACTCTACCGTTCTATTCTGTGATTCAAAGAGAGTTGCTCCGGAGCTCAGGCCTGCGTTAAAACGCGGGTGCAACTTCCCAGATGCTTCCAGGCGGGCGGTGCTGGGAGGTGCTTTCTGTTCATGCTCAGAGGAACTCTCGTCGTGTGACTAAAGGCAGAAAGCTGCAGTCCCGCACAGCTGTATACCCCCAGCCAGTCAGTGGCGAATTCAACAGGGGGTGTTAACCTCCGTATAAGCATCTGCTCCATCCTATAATGCAGGTACCCACCCACTCATCCGCCGACCGACTTAATTCAATAGGGTAGATATCATTGCCGCAGCGATGTGCTGCCCCAGTCACACATTAACAGCAGTCCCAAACCTGTCTGCAGTAGTAAATCCCACTGTGTTCATTGGGACTTACCCCTTTGTGCATGTGTCTGGGATTGCAGTTCTAGGAGCGCTTTCTTGGGAGTAAGTAAGCCCCATTGAACACTCTAGGACTTACTACTCTGAGCAAGCATGCATAGGATTGCGCTGCTAGAGGAGCAACTGTATACTAAATGGGAGTGAATAGAGACGAGTTATGTGCTCATTAGTTGTGTCTCTGAGCAGATCTAAACCATGAATTTCAAGCACATGACTCCCCCCCCCCAAGACCCCTGAGAACTGGTTGGTTTAGGGGTGTTGGAAATGGTAGCTCTGGGAGGGTTCTTCAGGGGAAGATGCGCTCTAAACACGCACTGGATGTCATTTATGTGTGTGTAACTGGAGAAGTTTGCTGCTGATTTATTACTGAAGGTAATGTCAGTTAGTAACTTTTCCATTAATTTAATTTTAGCAACAATATATTTCATTTTCACACATGTCACCCTTAGTTGGGCATTAAATTGTGGTGGTTTCCCAAAAGGAAACTTTACCAAACTCTCTAAGGCTATGGCAGAATGAATTACCGGTACTTTAAATTCCACACATTATCCCTTTTACTGCTGTTTTCTTGAGAATGCTCGGCCCAGTATATTTCTGTTGAAATTTCCTGTCAAAGGTATGGGAGCCCTGGCAATCATTTCTCACTGATCACACTTGTCCTTGCATGCAAAGTGGTTTTGTTCAACATTATTATATAGGATTTTAATTAATTCAAAAGCTTCCTTCTTTCAAAATGGATCGTGAATCAGTGAGTAGTTTTTCCATGTTCAGCTTTTCAGGTTTGTTCAGCTGCCAGCATTTTCATTGCCTAAGCTTTTAGGATGATAAAAGCATTCCATTCACGAAGGTGAACTCATCCAAATAAAGATGATCTCATTCAGATTTTTATCCTATGTCCACAGATACAATTCTATATGCCAGCCTTTTTTTGTTGCTGTTGCTTATGCTGGGCAACATTGTAAAGCATTACTATGCAGTTACCTCCTACAAGGGTATCCAGCCAGCATAAGGAGAACAAATTATCCAAGCCATAGAAGTCAGCAACAAAAAGATAAAAACTTGGTTTAATGCATAGATCAGGCAAAAGGTGTAAAAAAACAAATGCAAGGAAAAAAACAGCAAAATGTTATATGGCCACAGTAGAAACAAAATAGAACAAATTTTTACTTCCATAACCAGCATCATGGTGCCCACAAACAAATGAGCATTAAACCACACAATCTGTCACACATTTCAATGTTTTTAGCATGTTAATAAAGGTGGTCAACTAACTCAGGCAAAAGAGTCCAACCTGGAGTATTTTGATGATCTGTGTACGTTCCCACTATTGAAACTATATTTTTGAAGTGTCAGGAAACAATGATAATTTGCAAGCTAATATTTCTGAATGATATATGTTCATACTTTATTTTCAACTGGTTCAAACTCTACTATCCCATTTTTCTTTTCACCATACTGTTTCCCACTGTCTATCAATAAATTACCATGACAGAAAACCTGGCACACCTCTTTGACGCATAACTCAAAGTGAAAATGCTACTATGTCTATATCCATCACCCTTGCATAGAAAATGTTGACTCTGGGTTGTATCCAAATAAGCCCTACTCAATGCAGACACAATGAAACTGAAATTAAGGGGCCTAATTTAGTCATATCAATTAATTTAATGAGTCGACTCAGAGTAAGGCTATTTGGATACAACCCTCTGTCTTAAACAGTTTATCCCTCATCTAAGTAGGATGCTGATTCCATAAGAAATGCAACTTTGAAAAGAATGGAACTGTAATATTCAATAATTTAAAAGGAATTGGAAAAACAACTTTTGCAATAAGAAAAATGAATAGCTTCATTATAAAATTAGTATTAAGCGCCTGGTTGGAGCAGAGTGATGAGCTATTTGCCTCTTATCCATCTAGAAAATTGGAAACATGATCCATTTTGCAGGGGTCTTTTGAAAATTAGTGGAACAAAAATGGTAAAGCACATGTTACCACAAATTTTAAATAATAATGCTCCCAAGAGGTAGGATTTTAAAAAATAATTGTGAGTGGCTAAACAATCTGGTAATATATCTTAATTCCTATATTGCCAAAGTAAAAACAAAAAAAACGTTGCCTTTCAGAACTTCACTGAGATCTTGTGTGACCTTTAGCTAACAATATTTTAATATCAAACTAGGGAAGCCTCATTTTGCTTTCTAGACATTTGTTATCATTGAGATCCAAATTACTTTAAGTAACTATAAATGATTTTTCTTATTTAAATCTGATCTAACAGAAAAGCAAAATGGACCCATTCACTGAAACAAATAATGACCATTAATTTCAAATGTGTCAGGCTAGTATTTCTTCCCACTATAATAAAATTTGAGTAAGTTTAAGCCTGTACATGGTGAGAAACTCTTAGGTTTTCCTTTCTGGCATTTTAAATTCATTTTTTTCTTATATAATAGCCAAAATCCCATTAGTAATTAGGCCTATAGTGGTTTTATTCCATGCAATAATCATAGTTTGGCTATTGGTTTATAAATGATGACATCATTGTTCCCATGATAACTTACACAATAATTAGGAGTTTTAAAAAAAGTTTACTGCTGGACACGGGTTATATTGTGGGAGTTAGTAGTGGAGTTTTCTTCGTTCATTATGAAATAAGTTATAATGAGAAGTTACTGAGGAAGAGTTCAGCTACAGGTCAGATTAGGTAATGATTATTTTTTTTTAACCCACACAAGAGTAAAAATACTCTTACACTGGTGGCCTGATAACCAGTCAAGATTTCATCAATGAGAAGTGGTTCTCTTGATATTTGGGGATCTCTGCCCAGTGTTCAGAATGTAATCTGACTTTGAAAGGTAACAATGTTCAGTTACTGAGAGGGGACAGAGTACGGTTTTGAAGCAATCACAAGAGGTAAAGAGAGCTTGGAGTTTGGTGAAGTCAGAATCTGATGCAAGATTTAGCGGCTGTGCTGTCAGCTGCTGGAGTACCTGTTTGCTTCAAATATGCACAGCTTGTACATTTAAAAATAAATATTACAAAGACACTACCAAGTAGTGTCAACCCTGAAACTTCTTATAACTTTGGGGAACGCAGATTATTTAATATTTAATTATTTGATATTTTAAGGAACAGCTTTTCTGATGTAAACTAGATCTTGGCTTTTTTTTTTACATTTTGGTAACCAGATAATCTGCAGGAAGTTTGGTGTTTAATTCAAGTACGGCACCATTCTGAAAACACCATTTGTGGGGCTTTTCTCAAACACATTGTAGCCTAATACCATTGTTGTCTAATGCCACACAACCACCCTATTTGTAACTCAGGAGATGTTATTGCATAGGGAAATGAAAGGAAGGGAGCAAAAGTCTCACTTGGGCTTTGTTTTGCACACACCATTACAGTGGTAGCTTGGTTTTAGAACAGCTTAGTTTATGAACAACTTGGAAATAGAAGGCTGCAAACCCGGAAGTACCGTAGGTGTTCTGGTTTGTGAAGTTTGGCTTGGAAGCGGAACATGTTCCACTTCCTGTTGAGTGTGTTCCGTTTGTAAATTGAGTTCCCCACTGCTAATCAGAGGCTTCCTGTTGAGTCTGTTGGCTGCTGAGTCCTGAGCACCCACGCAACACAGAGGTGATATTTGGAGATTTTGTTTTTGCTATTATTATTTTTTTGCATTTTTGTTTGTGCGGCTTTTTCTTTTTTTTTACTGTGACTTGTTCTTCGTTTTATGGGACTGACTTGTGACTGTGGCTTGTGACTCCGTTTTTGTGACAGTGTAGAACCCAGTTCAGCTAATGATTGATTGATTGATTGTGCAACTGCGGAAATGGATAAAAGCCCTCCATCCAAACAATGACTATCATCAGTGCACGTAAGAAAATAAATAAATTTTAATTTCTACCATCTACAATACTGTCTTTTTTATAGTACAGTACATTGATTATTGCTTTAATTTTATGGATGAATGGTCTTGTTAGATAATAAAATTCATGTTAAATTGCTGTTTTAGGGGTTGTTTTTAAAAGTCTGGAACGGATTAATCCATTTTGCATTACTTCCTATGGGAAAGCGCGCCTTGGGTTTAGAACACTTTGGTTTTGGAGCAGACTTCTGGAACGGATTAAGTTTGGGAATCAAGGTACCACTGAATAATTTGTGATGCATGTATGA